AAGTTAACGTCTGGGAACTTTATATAAGTGCACCAGGTAAGGATTAATATTTTGTGCTTAATACTTCATTAATGGATAAATTCTATAAGGTTATGATAGCCTTCTGTTGTAGCTGTCTACAATTTATTCTAAATAGAAGGCTACAAAGACCTTACATGCGCTTATATAGTAACTAAACTACTAGATTTGGCAAAAAATGGAGCAAACCTGTAGATGCAAGTGCATACTTACTCTTAATATGAGGAGATACAATTCTTATTTGAATTAGCATAAGTCGATACCTAAACGAGAATCTAGTTTTTAAGGATAGTAAAAATAATTTCTTACCGTTTATTGGCATAGGCTTTCGATATTCTCATCCTCTCTATATTAGAAACACAACACGATTACTTTAGTGCGCCAAAAACGTATATCGTTGGATACGCGTTAATAACTAAAGTAAACAATATTTTAAGGGTTATTAGAAATTATAAACTTTGTGTATATGAAATTTGTAGGTATTATTATCACCGATAATGTATTTTGTTTGTCAAATTGAATTAAATCATTTAATAATGCATTTGTGAATTATACGCGTATATTGTTCGAAATACCATACCTATTTTATTTTCAGCTACGTATAATAAAAACAACAATTTATTCCCAAGATATTTTATATTAAAAATATACTATTGATAAAAATAAATTGTGAATGATTTTCATTTAACTACGATAATAATAATGAAGTGTGTAGTACTGTCAGAAAATAAAACATCGATTTCAAAAAAATAATTAGCTAATAAATCAAAGGAATACTTGCCTACTCTGCACTGTATCGGTTTCCGTATTGGTGGAACTATTTTAAGTGACATACTCGTACATAATATTGTTGTCAATAATTAAGAACTGATAACCAAGAAGATCAGTATCAATGTTTGTATTCATTTTCATGCAATACTGGTCAATTTTTAGTAATTTACTGTTTGTTATAGTTATATCGAGTCGATCCTACTCTAACTTTGTAGAAATTAATAAATTATTACTATGGAAACTACAGCGATTAACGTAGGATAAGTTAATATTAAGATTATCACAAATAAAAAAATTCAAAATCCCAAATTAGTTAACCACATCACTAAATCATTTTGATAGTTGTTTGATGGAGCTGATTAAATAAAGAATTTCAAGCTCTAACTAAAAGTATCTAATTACCAGACTCTTCGCTGTTTAATTAGCGATTCAAAATAGTGACCATATGTGATATTTCTTGATTGTTAGTTCCTACTTTCAAGAAGACTTCAAAGTAGATAACAAATATCTTATGACGTAAGTAAAATTTCGCCGTATGTATTAGAAATGCATTGCAAAAACTAACCCTAACCCTAGTCCGTTCTTTAAATATACCAAGCAATCGAGATGCCAAATTCTCAAAAATCTAGCAATAAAAGATCAGATTTAATTGAGGTAAGTTGGAAATTATGTTGGTGGTTGAAATAATCAATAAATTTAATTTCAAGAAGCCATACATTGTCAAACCTAATTTTACGCATATTTTTACAAATAAAGTAATAGTTGATGTCCCACCGGTAGGGTTATTATTCCCGGGTATAATAGCCAATTTTGATTCTTATTTACATCGGGTATTATCTGCATGTTATCTTGTCCTTTGTCATCTGGTCCTATTATTTTAATCCTCTCTATAATATGATAAAAAAATGAAAGTTTACTTAACATATGTCATCATTCATACTATGCTTTCCAACGTTGGTTTCATTTGCCAATCTAATAATGATTAATTTAACATATGATATGAACAAAACATGCAATGCTCTTGCTCTCATTACTTCAACAAAATGCATTAAGTGAGTTATTAAATTGTTTCCCCTCTCTCCATAAAAACAGCCGATAATCAATCGTGTAACAGCAGAATAACTCTCTAATTCTCTTCTAATAGACGACGAAATGAACCCGCTGTATAAGTCACAGCGTTTTGAGATGACAGTTAATTATAGAACTCTCAAGACGTATCTTTTATGGACCTTTCTTGTACTTGTTCCTTGAGTGGTGGCAGTGCCTCTACGGTTCATGTTGAAGAAGCTTATGCTATAAAATTAACAATTTTATATACAGCACTGTACTCTACCTGCTTACTGACACTTCTGTTTACATAAGTAACATTGAATCAAATTACATCACTGTACGCCACGGGTAAGCTTTGCGATAGTCGACAGTGCACTGCAGTCTACTCTGTGAGCCTTGACGCATAGGCGTATAAATAGTGTCCAGAGCAAGTCATTTGTTACAGTTTTGTACCTATATGCCGGTCCGTCTGCGTCAGTTTCAGTCTTTCAATTATATTTAGATATGGATGAGTTTAGTTTTATTATTACTTCATAAAATGATAAAGTGATACAACGTAGTATTTAGCGTCTTGTTAATACAGTAGCTAGATAGTAAGATGATATTTAATTATCGTTGTTGTAATTAATTGATACAGCTCAGAGTTTCTTGGTAGCTAGGACATAATACAGTACTATAATAGGACATTGTAGCTCCATGATACTTTTGAAAGTAAATTTTTTATTGATCAAGAAGTCGTTAAATTAGCATGTACTACAACGATACTGACACTAACACTACATAGAGGGAAGAGGAAAAGCTTTTTCCTCTTTCCTTAATGCTGACGCTATTACAATATCGATTTTGGTCCGACATATTGCTTGGAATGGAGTTTATATTCGTACCATACTACACTACGCTGAAACGTCGACACAACAACTACAGTACAGCCGCCTTTCTTGTTGCGCTGTATAGCTTTCTTGCTCGCTTGAATCTCTTGACTTTCTATCATTATAAAAGACAGTTCTCCTCACTTCTATAATGATGATGCTGTAATTACAAAGATTTTAAGTTTTTAAGCCTCATACCGTATTGCGCCGAAGGGTTTCTTCAATTTGTCGACTACTATACCGCGCTGCGCCAAATGTTTAATATACAGCTACTACCGTCGCAACTATTGCTACCACTAATACAGTACGCATAGTGTCAAATGGTCAATTTAAAGAGCACAGCAGTAATACTGCCGCAGCGATTGCCGAAAATGCGTTACCGACACACATATAATCATTTTAATATCAGAGAAACAATCCTATTCAATCTATATATATTATTCGTTCTTGCTAAAAGTATGGAAGTAGCATGTATTTTATGACTTTTTGCTATCAGCAATCATTGTAATTTACTTATTTCCAGTTAACGACTAGGTAATTTTAATAATTTCTAAATGATTATTTTACGCTCTACAAAATTAGCTCGCCGAGTTATTTAGCTACATATGATGTTCAGGTGCATAACTTGGCAGCTTTCAACCATCTCGTAAAACATAAATGCAACAAGAGCCTTCAATCATACTATTTGTGTAGGTATTGTATTTTATTAAACTGTTTTCCAGCTTTGAAAGCCTAAGATTAGCTATCAGGTCCTGATTGCACTTGTGATATGGTACATATTAAGTAAGGTGGCGGTAAAACTTGTAACCTAATATATAAAAAATTACTGCTCTTATCGACAGAGTATCAAAATCGTTTAGCTCTCATATGTTTTAGACATCATTGTATGATGTAATATATTCTCAGTTGAAATTATATTAGTGTTGTAGTCAGTAAAAGCCCAAACATAGCTTCCAGATGTAAAAACCTAATGAGTGACCCAGGATCTGCTGGTACTTACATGTCATACAGTCTTACAGTGATTAATACCACTGTGTGCAAATTAGACTTTAATAAAGCTAAATACAGCAATTTTCGCTATGCTTGACATTTTAAATAATTTTTATTACATGAAATAAGCATTACTTTATGTTCTATCCTACGCTACGATATACCGTATCATAATTTCGTCGCCTGAAGAGTTTGAGTTTCAGACCAGTTTTAGAAAGGCATATCCTCTTACTGCAACTTCTTAAAAATTTTGTGATAATCCGCTCACACTAATAACTCTTTCAATCATTTCAAAAGTTGAAAAAGCCATCCAAGTAATTGTAAATTTATGAAGAACTCTTTTAGAACACATCTTAAAATGTAATATTTCTATAGCACGCCTTATTTACGTATCTTCGGTAGCCATATTAAAAACAGACCTGTAACCACGTTATGATATATCCAATATGCATTTGATATACTAGTTTAAAATTTTATTAATCAAAGACTGACTGTCCGTTTACACAAGGCATTTGATATATGCTACTTTTCAATTGGCAACATCCATAACGTGAAATTATAAATCTGATAAAATATATGAACATGAATAAATTTTGTATCCTTCGTTTTACAATTATTATCAACGTGAATTCGATTAAGTTAATCGCTTTGGTACCATCTTCACAATTACAGAACTTCCTATCACTTATCAGTCAAATACACCCATATGGTCTAAATTGCAAACACTTGATGTGCTGAAGCATACAATGAATAAATGCTAGATACAGTATAAACAGTAGTTATATTTTAGCGGAGCCATTACATATTAACTGACAAGTACAAATAAACTATTTGATTGGAAAGAGATCTACTGAAACAGTAGAAATCTTGTATTATTATTATAAAATTATTAAGATTTCATTGTGAAATTTCAATCTTGCAAGGAAGATCTAAATACAAGAAAAGAATTATAGGACACAATGCAGCATATCATGTTATATCTAAGATATATGTTTCATTTATAACAATCACCAAACAAACTAGTTCAATTCTCTAGATTTAGTTTTTGTCAACACTATCGCAACAAGAAAGAGCATGTTTGGATAAGATACCAACTAAGATATAGCATCTGTAGCCTGGTAAAATAGAGGCGCGCAATATTATATTAAAATTTTACAAGAAAAATAACCACTTCCATACTAAAGTCATGACATCAGCTACTAGCACATTCCACTAGTTCACGAAGCGACGGCGAATTTATCATTATATATTTATTATCAATGTGTTCAGCAAGACCATTCTTATATAATCAAAGGATCATAATTAATTCTTGCAATTTGCTGTAAGCCATGTTAGACCTTCATATAACCCATCGCCTGTTACTGCGCAGGATGGCTGAACATACCAATTTCGATCGCGAATTTTTATTAAACCCAGTCTTTCTTGAATATCTTGAGGCTTCATAGCTAAAGAATACATTTTACGTAGAAAAATTTTAATAAAACCTCCACCAAGTATCAATTGTAAAAGATAAAGGCTGATACAAATGGCCTACGTGCAATGTTTATAATAAATTTGCCTATCAAATCTAAAGCTGTAACATACCATTTTCCATATCTTGCTTATTGGCAAACACTAAAATAATTGCATCTTTCATTTCGCGATCATTGATTATTCTATGTAATTCGCTTCTAGCTTCATCAATTCTCTCTCTGTCAGCACAATCGACAACAAAGATCAATGCCTGGGTACCCGTGTAGTAATGTCTCCACAAAGGGCGAATTTTATCCTGTCCTCCAACATCCTATGTTAAGATACCCCAAAATTTTCAGTTATGTCAGATTTTCATTCAGTCAAATTTTTAACGGCTTATATTTTCCTTTAGCTTAATTTTGATATTGACAAGTTGTCTTGCTAACTTTTACGCATAGAGATAAGTGATATCAACTTACCCATACATTAAATTTAACATTTTTATATGTAACTGTTTCGACATTAAATCCAACGGTTGGGATAGTCGTAACTGATTGTCCCAATTTTAATTTGTATAAAATAGCTATTAACGAAAGGATAAAAAGTTATTTTTTCTTATACATCAACAAAGGCTATAAAGGCAGCGATATTATTAGAAAATTATATCTGATGAACCTTATTGAAAACTACAAGCAGAATGTTAAGGGATGTTAAAAATTATAAATTATTTTAATAATTCTATATACATCAAAATAATAAAGCAATCGTTTGAATTTTTACTTGTTTTCCCAGCAGCATCTAAACCAAGCATCAATATTCTCATTTCTTTACTACCAAAAAGTTTTGAGAGCCACTTTCCCATGTTTTGGCTTGAAGATATGAAATTTTCGGGGAATTATATGAAAAAGTAGTAGCTAAAAGAAGGCAAAAGGACATTCTTATTTATTTGAAATTACTTAAAGCAAGGTAAAGTTGATGACATATGATGTCTATAACTTTAAATGTGTGAATATTTTGGATGGCTATCAGAGATTCAAAGTGTTGAATAAATTTTTAATCAGCTGCAGAGAATCAATAAGATAAACTTTGAAAAACATCAAGGTAGTATAATGCATCATAACGAGCGAGGTTAATAATCAATTTCTAGCACCCATGATATTGAATTATATCGATACTTTATTGTACAGTATTTTTGCGAGTCGGTATTAAAACAAGGAGTGAACTTAAAATGATAATATTCTGTAAAGCATCCTATACGTGCTACCGTTAAATTACCTATACATACAGTACAGTATATATGTACATATTATCATGATATGACTTTATTGTTAGTGTTTGTCAAGGGGTGCTAAGGAAAAAGAGAGAAGATTTTCAATTCCACATTAGAACGAATAAATTGCTTAATCCAAGTAATTTGCTTTCGGGGCAAGGTAAAGGTTGTTCAATTGAATGTACGCTTGTATCCTAATTAGTATACAGTAACAGGCATTTGTAAAGTTGAATTTTTATTGTACTGTGTTCTAAAAGCGCATTTAATTATAATTCGGCATGATATCACATGTTCGATGGATTAAAATTTTAATGATTTGATTTATTAGTGATTAGGAGTAACCCCGTAGGCAAGTGTAGAAACCAAGCATCAGTTGTGTTCAGTACTACCATATATTCGACACTTTCATTTATCCTTATTAATGATGGTATTCTTGAAAGGTATCGAAAGAAACTGTTGCGTAAGTACGTGCATACGGACTTGTTAGCATAGTTATTCTAAGATAACACACGGACAAAATTGCAGTACTTGACTTGTTAGCAATCGTAATAGTGGACTGTGTCTGTTATTCCAACGATGAATACGAATATTCATATAAGGAAGGTTGGTTTCATATTTTATAGACGAATATTTAACAAATTTCGTCAGCTAGAAAATAAAATTTTAAAATACTGTCCATTGAACGGCAAAATATTTACTATTTCTTCTGTTAATGTAAGTACTTCTACTGTCAAATAATGAAGTTAACTATAAAGTTTCACTTTGGAATTAGCAAAAAAGTGGCCACCGGCGTGGCGTGCATGTACTAACTAAGCACTACACAATACGTACTTTCATTTTAACGTTTTCAACTTTGTTATTGTACTGTATATCTTGAATGACTATTATCACGCTCGATACAGTATCATATTTTCATTTTACCAACTAATAGTTCGAAGTGATATCATATAATACTACAGTATATATAGATATATATTTTACTTTTGTTAGTTCTACAAGTGCAATATTGACTGTATTGTATACTAGAAGGTAAGTTATCGCTACAACGTCGGGCAATAACTTTCAATATTTTGAAGCAACTAAGTAAACTGTACTGAGTCTTGTGAATACTTTTGGTATACCAATATTTTCAGCGGTATTGTATTTATAACTTTGAAAAATTATATTAGTAATACGTGTATGATGACGAAAAACTAGGCACAAGGTTAATGGCTAATTAATGAAATGGCATTTCGTAACGGCTTATTGAAGTCAGAACACTTTTGTATACCAATATTTTTAGCGGTATTTCATTTGCAAGTTTGTATATAGTATACGAATAATTGCAAACATTAAAACAAGGTTAGGTAATGGTTCATCAAATGGTATTACTGAAGGGCTTATTACAATCAGAGAAGTGTATATATAGAGAAAATTCATTGAAGGAAGAGACATCAATGGAACTTTTTTCCGATATGGAGAGTAGAACAACATGAAAGACAGTAGGATGGATAAAAAAAACAAGATTGTTCATATTAGAATTGAAAAAACTGCCTGCTGTTATGACTAAGAATTTAGTTTTTCCTAGCGACAGATTTAGTATCAAGACAGCAACGTGTCATTTTCATAATACTACTACGCTGTAAAATGGTAGGCGCACTGTATGGATAGATATTATATGAAAGGAGGCTGCAACTCTTAAAACGTGCTTAACTTGATTTGTGAGGCATTTTCAACAGTCTTCAAAGCTAGCGTTATTTAATTAGTGTATAATGTACGATTCATTCACTCTAGTCCATTTTTTCAATTGGAAAGAAAAATTGACTGAGTCCACATCCTAATTCATACTCTCTTCTTAATCCTGTAACAAAACTCAGTCAAGGCACCTACATGCAATCCGAGTGTTTTTAAATTGCTGTTAAAGACACGTAGAATAGTATTTTAGGCGAACGATTAAAAATGACAAGGATAAAATATGTTTCCTACCCGTATGTTAATACTGTATATAAGACATTGACGTCAATTACGTCCATTAATTAATTACGTTACGGAAGGCAGAACTGTACGCGTATTATTCCCGATTTCAATAGGATTGAAGGAAAAATTTTCCAGAAGAAATGAATCATTTCTGATTTTACTACTTTAATCAATAAACTAAATTTGATCGTCAGGATATTAAGGCATTATTTAGGATATAGTCCTAACCAATGGCGAGATTGGAACGATGACATGATTAGCGTGATATTATTATTAAACTACAGGCAGGAGTTGAGCCATTTCAACCATGAAGGTTTTTTTGGTACCTGTGGTAAAGACGGTAAGGGCTCTGTGTCCGCACCATATTCATCGTTATGACGTTGGAGGAAAAGAAAATGAACTCGCCTTGAAAATCAGTGTGTCTATGTGTGACATAAACGATAATAGACGCGTATTATGATGATGATAATAATAATTATTGTAAAAATGCATGATGATTTTATCATGGACTACCGTAGCGAGATGGTCTGCTTTGTAGACCGTGGACCTACTTTATATCGAGTTGGAAAGGAATGTAAAATAATTACTTCAACATGTACTGTACGTACAACAAATACAAGTTGCGATATGATTAGGGCCTAATGGAAGCATTGACTTTGGCATAAAATAGAGACTGTGTAGAGTCGAATTGCAGTATTCCTGCAATATTTCTACTGGCAAGAGAGCTTTTAGTTTGCCATGTTGCAGCTGTTACTCGACATTCAAGTTCATCATTTGGTGGCATTGAATGGCAATAGTCATTGAAAGACACTTATTCCAGAACCTGTTGTCAAAGTCATCAAAGCAATATGTATTGTATTGAAGAGCGCGTTGGCGATGCTGCAATAGTTAGACTCATCCAATAGCAACTGTCTGATTTGGCTAACTGATATTAGAAAGGCAACGAATAAAGAGATAGCTAATAAATTAATCATAAGGATGATTTTAGGCTATGTTGGAGCCATTATCCCACTTCAAGCGGTATCCCAAGGTAAGGTCTGGTCTGGCTGGATACAATAGTTTCACCACTACGGTCGCAAGTGTACCGATGGGTCTAAGCGCATCCTATAGTGTACAGTATATACGATAGAGTAGACGAAAAAGGGACAGTGACTGAATGCAAGCGATTGCAAGTGGCCTACACTGGTGAATGGGGTCGTGAAGCGAGTCAAGACTTACCGTATTTCCTTGCTGCAAGATTGATGCAGTTAATTGATTGACGGTTTATAATGTCTAGATGCAAGAAAAAATGTCTTTTTAAATGGTGATTGTGTTGTCGACAACAAGCTAGAGCAGTTACACTGTCCAATCGACGGGGAAATCAATGCCAATGTCTTTCAATTCCTTGTCAAATTGCTAGTTTTACTACCACAGTGATAGCACAACTTGGCCACTGATTGACGTTGATATCAGAATGGCGCGATGCATCCACGCCCAAGCGAGAAGAAGCGTCTAACTGTTGAAGTAGGTTCCTCTTGGCAATCTTTTACACTAATTTAGTGAATGCATTAATCCATAGACAGTTGGCCCAATCCTCACTGAAAGCTGTCTTTGACTAACAAGAACACGAATGCGATCTCACCAAGCAAATGGCCCCTACCACCACTGTAAAAAGGTGTGGACTACAGACTATGTAGAGTTTGACCTACAGTACAGGAGGTCCCAAAGAAACTTGCCAATGCGCGTCGACTAAGAAAAGGCCGCCGTCCAGTGCCAGTACAGTACCAGTACGGTACTGGTACAGTACCAATAAAGTACCAGTGCAGTATACTGTACACTGTACACTGTACAGTACAGTACTGTACTATGGAATCGGAGCACGATTTCACATGTGAAGTGACAATGTACTGTACAGTACAGTACAGTACACACTGTACACTGTACACTGTACAGTACTACTGTGTACTGTACAGTACTGTACTATACTGTAGAACCCTTCTTACAATGTACTGTACTGTAGAAAAACGCCAGAATTTATACAGTACAGTACAGTACAAGTATTTTGGACTTTAACGGGTAATATTAGTAACTTGAACCCATTTCATGTCAATTGAAATTACTGTACACATTGGCATAAAGCGTCTTATTGCCAATCCAATGATACCAAATTTGCCTAATAAGGACTTGCAATAATAATTGGATGTAACTTCAATCAGCGGGAAAGACGTACAGTACATGAGACATCGTGTACTGTACACTGTACGCTACAGCACTGTACTAAAAGCTACAGTATTAAACAATCAACTATACTGTAGGATTGTATGGAGCAGTGCTGTCATACTGTACAGGGTCACTACTGTGAGTACTGTCTACTGCACTCAGTGAGTATACTGTACAGTGCTGTATTCGGTAATAAAACAATCAATAATAAAGTGGTGACTTGGTTCACAATTTGACCTTAGCCATCAAGTCATGAACTGTCCGGACTCAAGTCCAGTAAAGTACTATACTGGACTTGACGGTAGAATGTCCTAAAATTTCGACGTCCACTACTGTACTAATACTGTTCATTTTGCGAAGCACAACAGGCACAGAAAAATTCATACTAGTCAGGACCATTTCGGCCCTGAGTTCTTCCATCTTGAAAAGTCTATCCGTCCGAGACCACTCGCTTGTACTGTACAGTACAATGTACAGTACAGTACAATACCGTCTACACGCAATGGACTATAGTGTACAGTACTGTACTGTACTGGGCATGGTCAGAGACCATGTCTGGGTAATCGGGACTGTGACCTAAAGCACGCATGCGCACCTAAGCGGCGCGAATTGAACTCTCCTTTCAAATGGGCCAACGTATCACAACCACAAACGGTGTTCTACTCCATTGGTGCGCCGCCATTCTCAGCACTTTCCTTAGCTCTTTTACTTCCATTGATCTCGGATACAGCCATCTCTTTAAAGAGTAATACAAGAAAAGAATTGACCAAAGAAATTACCAATCAAGATTCCCTTTGGATCAACTTAGAATAACAGGTATACGACCACGGCAAAGAGATACATCAATCTGTTGTCATGATTTTCAAGATGGGCTGAAGGAGGTTTATTTATCCTTCATCTTCAATGGATCAAACTGCTTCATTCACTGTAGTAAGAGTGGATAATATAGACAGAGCTAAGTCAGTACTAGCTGATTGCATATGACCTTCTAGAGGAAAACTTGGACTTGACCAAGTCTAGGCAGTAACGAAGAATGGCTATCGACTTGATTATTTACCAGCATTAGACAAATTCCATTTCTTTCCTGCAATCGATCTTGTAGTAAGCCAATTTAGTACCCTGTAGCAACTGGAAGTCAAGCCAATACGATTGACAGTAGAGAAAGTAGTTTGAATACTCGCAAACTGCAACCAACCCTAACCTACAGTAATACTCTCGTCAGATTCTGTCCCAAGTTAAATAAAATCTATTCTACCTTAAAAAACCGTTCAGGGATTCATGCTGATCCTACGACGGCATGATAACGTTGCAGACAGTGATTTGCCACACAAGAAAATACCGAATACGATCATCACCAAGACTTGACCATCCAAGCCATTGATCTTATGTCTTACAGCGTGATCAAATTGCAAATAGTGACTTGGTGGCAATCGAAATAGAAAATACGATCCAATTACAATTGCTACCGTTTCCGATGCCGCTTGGATACTAATTTTTCTTCATTACCACATGACTTACCAAGCAATTTCATCCATTGACATCAATTTGTTGTTGATCATAAAACTTGTATACTACTGTACGAGTACTTACACGCCTATCACAGAACGAATTTGCTATAGCACATAATGTTGTTGCTTGTGATGGTATGATAGTAGTCAAGTCAACAGACCTACTGTACAGAATCATGAACGCCAAATCTGTTCAAAAATGATGCTAAAATTAAAATGGAAACAGCTTATTGACAGCTCTAGCGTGAGCTTGAACGAGTTAGTACAGTAACAGTAAATCACATCCAAATATACTACACCATCACCTAGAACTTCATATTGTAAAAGTTAAAATTGTTAGTTTAATACTTTAATCTAGTACATCCAAAGTTATTTTTTGTCAGAGTCGTTGTACTCTCCTAGAACAAATGATAAACCAGATAAGTAGTAACTCCAATCTCTTTTACCACTTTTCTAATAACCATAAATAGGATTGTTGATACACATCTTACTGAAATATGGGAATAATGATGTCATCATCATTCCTTCAGCAATATTACCAACACAATATATTTCTCGAATACTATAATAATATATGTATCTTTAGATTGCATCATGTCAGAAAACGAACTCGTTTCTCAAACAGAAGAATGCCTAGCGGAATTACCTTTTTCTCTTATGACTACTGAAATGGTAGAGAGGATTTGGCAAGCTGGCTTCTACGAAGAGGATGGAGACGAATCTGAAATTTCAATCCAAGACGTCAAGCCATATCTCAATGCTATGTTGAATTTTCTTCAGTGCTGCCATCGTTGGATTAACGATGATCAAGACAGACAAAAAGAACGAATAGGTAGGTTAACATGCCTGAGAGTATTTACCGCTGCATAGTGTAAAATAGAGTTTCCAAGCTTACATGATAAGTAGTATTAAGCCATCATGAGGAAGCTGCTTCATGTTGTGTCCTTTGCACCAATGATAATATTGATACGTCTAGGCGCAGATTTTCAATCACTAAATCAACACTTTTATTGATGATAATAATTAAATCGTTCTACAAATGCTATCGTTATTTGAGAAATGAGAACTAATATATACTGCCTGACTGGCCTACTAAATATACAGTATACTTATAGATATATATATATTATCTTACTTGTATACGTCGAGAATATACGTAAAAACCATAGAAAGCTTCTTTATTTCATCTTCAAACTAAATTCAATATTTGTAATATTTTGTCCTCTGACTACATGAAACAGACTTCTGGATAGTGTTGAAAAATAGTGGAATATCCGTTAAAGTCCTGTTGACTTTTCTTTCTACCATCATCAGATTCCATTCCAAGGTAAAGTTGATTATCATATTTGTCTTCACTAATGCTGCTATCACCTTCTATGATTCAGCTGGCTTGATGATATTGTTATTGAATGGATATTTCAATTTCCATCGTCATTGCGGTACTCTGTTCGTAAATGAAAGGACGAGTATCACAGCGAAAAAAATGATATCACATACTTTTCAGTTATGCGATATTTATTGACTAATGTGCATTACTGAAATAGATTATGACTTATCTGAATTGTAACTTGTACTGGTAGCTGACGTCGTCGCTAGAAATATGCGCACTGTATAACACTATAGTACGCGTATATACGTATTTCACATGCCGATACTACGCTATGATTCCTTTACACAAGCCGGCATATCTTCCACTTAAAGAAAATACGGACACTGTTGATTTGACGTCAAAGAGTTATCATCATTGAAAAAATCTACTATAATTTTATCATCAACTTCTAAAAGTGGCTGTCTTATAAATTATAGACAAATATTGAGAACATGAACAATTTGGCCGCCGTGCTAGCAGCAAATATCTATTCTGCATTGATTAATGTTCATGGTAAGTACATTATGGAGATACCACTGTTGATCGTCGTAAATAGACACGCAATGTAATTAATAGGTAGACTACATGTATATTTTTAGTCATTTCTTGATAGCATGCCTTGCTCGATAGTTTATGCTACAACGTATTGATAGAGATGGAATGAGTACACTTACTGTAAGCTGGCGTTACTTGTACCTACTTAGCAAAGTAATTTACTATTAGCCGTTTCGTTGTTAATAATGGCTAAATCTAGTTTGATTAGGTACGTTACCATCAACATTCACAAGCCTACTATTATAATTATTAATATATTATAATCTCATACAGCTTGCTTTAGCGTTATAGTTTATTCCTTACATGCCCTATTTTACTACGAGTTGTAAGAGATTTATTCAATAATCTCGTAGCTTAGGGCAGTACAACAATTACAAGAGATTATCAATTATCTTTACCAACCTGACAGTTAGTGATTATTAAATTACTATGGATGAATATTTTTAACAAGTAAATAATACCCTATATTTATAGGTAGTAGAGCTTACAAAGTATTTCAACCTGCTCTTATACAAAGTGCGATGAATTTGCTCAAATACTGGCCCGGTAATAAAATTACTGATTGCAATATTTATTGTTGCTACGTCATAAAGGCATAGAATGTACACAATTTATTCTTATAGAATTATTATTACCTTACAGGCCTTAAAAACCTAACAGCTAAGAAATCTAAGAAGAAATCTCGAGTTAAAGGAAGCAGAAAGCGTAAAATTGATGAAGACTTTAGTGATGGCAATGATGATTTGATGGATACGGACAGCAATAGCCAAGATGTAGAATACGCTCAGTCTGACGCCGTAGTGCACTTTTCTTACTCTTCACAAGACCTAATGATTGCTTTGTTGCAGGTTAAAAATTAAAGGCCTATTTTTCGCCTAGATTGTAGTAATATCTCAATCTCTTATTGTTATTTACTATTACTAGACCATTGATAAAGCATTAGCTGGAACTAATGTCTCCCTTAAGGATTTTCAAGAATGCTTTAATGGTACTCTACATTCACTAATTGAACTTACTCGATTGCCTGACCGTAATATGTCTAAAACGTTCGACTGGATACTGCACAAGTAAGCTGAAACGATGACTATTTCTGTACCTATCAATTACATCACGCTTTCATAGTTTATCAAAGTCCTGCCTGACGATTTGACTATTTTATCTGTTTTAATAAAGCAGTTCTCCACATACAGAAACTGTTACAAATCTCATTTTTAAGGTAAAGTCTGCCATTATCGGAATTAGTGAAAAATGCCTAGATAACACACATCTACTTGCAAATTGTAGGCCTTAAGTAGATTAATTTTGCCCCAACATGGAGATCCCAAAGAAAATATAAATAAGGTAACTCATTCCAAAATAAGTTATCGACAATCTTAAATGATGATTGATGCAATTGTTACACTAATCCTATAATTTCATGATCGTGTTTAGATCTTGAAGTCTCTTTTGCCTAACTTACTTTTGAGGGAAGACACTACTCTCAAGAAAGCAGCCATGTCAGGACAATCTGCCATACCAAAGGAATTATTAATTATCCAAGAAAATACAACTGACTACATTTGGTATTACTTTTGATTACTTTTAGACGTGCTGATTAATTCTATTCTACGATAATTTCAAATCTGTACTTTATACAAGTTCCATTAGCACCGTAACTTATACTTCACAACTCTTTATTTTTACCCATAGTAATTTAATCAACGAGGCTAATGAAGGCACTGAAGACAGTGTATATATTTTCGTTCAACATTTATGCGTGAAAGTCCATGACAAGGCAGAATACAGACAAAAAATTACTCCATCGATCGTTCGTATCATAGGAAAGCTTTGTAATGCAACGTTTATTCGAATTCTTGCATGGTTAGAAAAATATTGTAGAAATCATAAGGCAAGTGACCTACCTTTCTATCGCCACTAATAGTTACATATTCTAACGTTCATCGAACTTTTGCTTCAATCTCAGGTGTCGAACCGCATCTTTGGTTTAGATTTGATACAGTGTATGCTGGAGCGGTTCGCAGTTATTGTTGGTAAGATCATAGTAGACTATAACATATCCACGGCTGTCTACAGCTAGATACCATTTTATCATGCTAAATCGTTATATTTCAGACGGACTACAAGACAACCCGCAAGATTTTACCGCAAGTTCATTATTACGAATAATAATATCCCGCTGTCTTGACAAAGCGTCATCGTAAGTGTAAATAAAGAATTATTTATAATTGCAATTATATTATTTATGATGCATTTCCATTCGAATATACTACTGCCTCTGATCATTAACAATTTATATTTTCTAACTTTTTACTTCAATGAAAGAGTTCGTTCCAAAGCTTTATCTGCTGTTGCTGCTTGTGCGCGTTTAGAGTGTCGAGTTGTTTCAGAAGCTATATGTGAAGCAGCGGTTAGTAAAATTACCGTTGTCACTAAAATTGTGGATGAAAGCCACGAAGTAACGGAACGAACAACAGGTACAAGTTAAGCCTTTATTACCGGTTTATGAACGATGTTATTAATATACGATATTACATCGTGTATTTCGATATGGTACTAAAGGCAGTAAAAATTGAATTCATTAATTGTAGCTCGATTTGGAGGTCCAACATCTAAAGTAAATTTGCTAGACGTTGTCAAACGGCGAATGGGTGATGAGAAGCCAGGAGTGCGTAAATGTGCTATTCAAGCGCTGGAAAGTTTATTGAGCCTTGATTTACAATCAATGCGGTCAGAGGTAATAGAATTCGTAGTTACTCCGAGTCTATCAAATCTGTTCATTAAGAATATTAACACATCACGGATTTATTTGTAATTGCAAGCAGGATTTTTCCACCATCTGCGATCGTTGCCGAGATGTATCTGTCTCAGTGCGTAAACAAGCGATGTTATCATCGACGTGTCTTCTCGAAAGATGCCTTGGCAATGAAATTTACAGAAGGTAGTATACACGTATTGTACTCGTCGTTGTCAATATTAAAATAGTATTTCGAATTCTGTAATAAAACTGATTAGAAAATGTTTTAATACTGTATAGATTATGGCTGGATGGCATTTTACCGCTTGTTTGCGATCGTGAAAGTAGCATTCAAGAAAAATGTTTACAAGTACTCTATGATCTTACGTGGAATAAAATCGTTAGACTAGATCCTGAAGAATCTCAACTAGGCTGGCAACTTTTATCATTGATAGCAAATCATGATAATGCAGAAGCAAAGCAAGTGCCACTTTACCTTTGCCTATTAATAGCTTACGTAAAATTGAATATAAAATGCATATGTTAATAATTTTCTCTTTCATTTCCTAATAGATTTTACTTTGAGAGAGCTTGCAGTCAATGGTGCATTGGAGGCAAAATATCTGCAAATGATGTTAATCGGTTATTCCGTCAAGATTTTGACGAATTCAAACAAACTTCTTGGTGGTTAATTTCAGTGACAGCATCGTATATCACCAGCTTTAATCCAACCTTGGTTGCTGATTTTTGGCTAGATAATGATGACTTTTTTGGTTAGTGTTACTTTAGCCAGTTGAAATTTACGTACTCATGCTGCATTTCCAATGATCCTTTAATTGGATTTGATATATCCACAAAAAGAGTTTACTTGCTAACACATTTTAATGTTTACAGGTAGGGACGATATTTTGCATTGCTATGTGTTGCAAACGATTAGCAACGTTGCTAACCGTCTACCCGTGGAAAAATATCAACTTGTATATAGCAAATTACAGCGAGAACTACAAAAATGCCGTTGGACTCCTAATTTAATATCAGCTGGAATAACAGTAATCCATAAGTTTAGCGAATCCGAAATGGGAATTTCTAAGATTGAAATTAAGCAATGGAGTAAAGCCATTATGCAAGAGTGCTGTAAACATATATGTCGCATTTCTGAAACTAGATCCTTAGGTAAGTAGCATTGAAATATCCTAATATTGATATTGCATTTAGTATCTCTCTTCCTTATCTTTAAAAATTACTAACATTTCTAGAGGCATCGGCTCTGGATAATGCTATTAATCGAATCTTTTTAATTGGAGAAATCTCTATGGTAAGCCGCTACCTGACAATGTAAGATTATTGTAACCTCATAAACTAAGAATTTATTTATACCTTCATATGTAGGTTATACCTGACTCCGTTCCTAGTGCCATCTTTTCTGTGTTGCAGAAGATTGTTCAAGGTTAATGTTATAATATAGTAATTCGTTTCTTTACTACAATACTATGTATCAAAAATTAATTTATATCATTATCACATTTAATTGTATATTGCATGTAGATAATTCATTTTCAGTACCGCATTGTCTTCGAGCACATGCCGTTATAACCCTTGGTACGTCTACGATGATGATAATTTCAGATTCGAGTAAAATCTTGAACCAGTGTCTATAATGATTCATCATTCTGCAGGTAAATTGTGTTTACAAAATGAAGAATTGGCAAAGAATTGCGTTTCTACGCTAGCTCAGTGCCTGGATTCTTCAAAGGACGGAGCGTTACGAAACAACATTATCGTGGTGATGTGCGATCTTTGCAAACGGTACTATAAATTATAAACTAGAAAATATTACTAAAGCGAGGTCAGACTATTAAAAATGCCCTCTAAGCAGAAGTTTTTGTTTCTTTTAGATATGCAACTCTAATTGATGCCTATGTATTGAACATTCTTGCGTGTCTGAGGGATTCAGAATCGTTAATAAGAAAGCAGACACTTACTCTAGTTACTCGATTGTTACAGGTTCATTTTCACTAGCTATTCCGCTGACATTATCAGTTTTGTCATACTTGTAAAAGTCTATCTTATTCGAGTGAATTTCTATCAATTTTTTATAGGAAGATTTCTTGAAATTGCGTGGAAATACATTCTATTGCATTGTTGTGGCACTCGTTGATCATGACTCTGATGTCAGAAATATTGGTAATTTTAAGTGTTTGCAATAAGGCTTATTTAGCTTGCTACTGATAATATTTTCATTCTTTAGCTGAATTTTGCCTATCAAATTTAATATTGTCGAGGAATCCTTCGATATTTATGAATAACTTCATCGAATGTATCTTTAGCCTCAATGACTGTGCATCTCATCCAGGTTAATAATTACAATCAGCAAGATCTATATCAAAAATGTAATCATGTACAACACCAATCACTAACCTTCGACCTGCATTCCCTAGATTACAATAGAATACAGTATAGAGAGCGTGAAAGAAAGTTATTCTCCATTAAAGGCGACAATGGTACTCAAAGAAGGTAATTTCATACCCTCGTAAATGCCTGACTTAGAATGTAATGATATTGTATGTGTGTTCACTATTCAACTATAGTCGAAGACAACGAATTTATGAATTTTTGTTAAGCCATATGCCTGATGAACAAAAATTTCATCTAAATGCGAAAATTTGCCAAGAGGTTCATATCAACAATTACAACATTATCGACGTTAGAATTAAATAAACTTGCATGCACGATTTTATAATAAGCATTCGTATATCGTATTGTAGTGGTGTTAAAAGCAACTTATGATGCTACAGGTTCTAGGTGCTTTTGTTGATGAAACAATGCAATTGAATGAAATGACATTTAATGTCCTGAAGGATACATTTACTATTCTGAGAAGCAAGGTATGTTAGAGCGATTATATTGTTTCATTATTATTAACTTAATCATTATATAACTTAGCAATGTTTGTTCAGGAAATTAAACTATCGTCTATGAAAAACAATGATGTTAATGATCTCCTTGATGAAGGCGATTTAGCTGGCGCTGCAATCGCTACTGCAAAGTCTAAGATTTTAACACAAGTATGCCAGACCAGTAATTGTTAACCGTAGTATCTATAAGTTTTATTCTAACTCATCGCTCTAATTTGGGACATTAAAGGTTACAAGAAAAAACACGATCGAGAATATTGTACCTATCATTGTAGCCGTCAAAAAACAGGTAGTTAATACTGTACAGATAATATTATTTTAAAGTACTTACGAGTCTTTTATTAATGCTAGCTTGAAACTATTCGATCCCCGTTATTGAGAGACATGATGCTATACTTGAAAGAACTGACCAAAGATTATCGTAATGAACTCAACGGTAACAATATTTTCACGTAAAATACAATATATTCACTGTATGAGATTAAATGTAAACTATAATGTCTGCTCTAGAAATATTGGTAGCCGATAAGCAACTTGCCGAAGAATTAACATACGACTTGAACAGATTTGAAAGAGAAGAGAAAGAACGGAGACGAAGTCATACAAGACTTTCAGAGTCTTTTGTACTTCAGGATCAAAAAGTGATATATTTCATCAATTTAAGCAGTCTTCAAATGAAGTTTCTCGTTACGATTAAAAATTTTTAAATTTATTATTTGTTATCAGAATACTTCCATATCAACACCCGAACGTACTAACCATCCAAATACTAGCATAAATGCTACCCCACGATTAAGCGCCCGACGGCATAATAATAGTTTCAATACGCCTGCTCTTACTCCGGCTAGAGTCAGATGTATTAATAGAATGAATAATACAAATTCGGATCAATTACAAAAAACACCTGTTACTTCTCGACGTTCACAAGAGGTAACGAACGACTACAGTATTGTGTGATGGACTTTACATCATATTTTTTACGTTAACTCGTAATATTATCATTAGTATTCAAGCGATGCTGTAGACATACCGAAAGAAAATGAAAGAGCAATTAGTACACCATGCGGTTAGTTAATATATCGTTAGGCGTTATTTAATCCTGCCGTTGACATCAATCCACAAAATTTAATTGATTAAATTATCCTCTCTTAGGACAAGTTTCTCAAGTAAGTTTCGGAACAGTAATGTCTTCGTCAATGGCAACCAATAAATCCCCTATGCCTACTAAAATTCCATTGAGATTGTACAATAAAGGTATGAATTTACTATTGACATCAAAACTGTAGTATCGTTATAATTATTCCCTATTTCGTAAGTACTCTAATATGGTAAATCTTAATTTAGAACAACCAATAAAGGAGCAAACGTCAAATGAATCGACAGATGTAGTCTATCTATATTCTCCAGAACAACCGTAAGTAGTAGCTACTCCCATTAATTTAATTTTGCTTTGCTCACTGTTCGCATTTGGGCTTATTTGAATAGACTTCCGAAACCGAGAAAATGGAATGTACGCCAATAGCTTACTTTGCCAGTAAAGACATTACAATATACTCAATATATTTTAATTTGTATGTAGTTCGCTTCTTCTCCGTTAATTTATCCCGAAGTCAGTTATGCTTTGTAAATGTTAGCAATTTCTTTAAATGGATCCTTACGCTGTTAGTTTCTTGCAGTTTTATAGAGTACTGTATATACCATCTGATTCTACTCTGAAGTCATGTAAGAAAAAACGATTTATTTTTGCTTAAGAAACTACGATACCTTTTAAATATAAAATGCTAGAAATTACATGTTGTCAAAGTTGTGAGATTTTCATCGACGTGACACACTTTAGCTTTGAATCGGTTTAATCTTATATCATAGCTGGTCATATTGAGATCTTACGATTTGTTAACAGGCAACAACTTGAAATCAGTCTTTTAATAAAATGATTTTTAATGTTGTTATGAAACATATTTCTTGTACCATTACTTAACCCTTTAATCTGGTTCCAGTTCGTGTTTGGCAAGGATCATGAATTAAATATTCTACTGTGAATGTTTTCGTGATTGTTGACTAGGTGGACATGTTGAAATTAAGTAATGAAAATTGATTAAGTTATATGTTACTGATACGGCATCACGACTGTTGTCCCGAACAGTAAAAGATTCATTACATGAAGAAAGAAGTAGCCCAAATATTAACTAGTTATTTAATGTTAATCCTAATTTCCCATATAAATGCATGGTTTGAATACCCTCATACCCAAATGTGAAATATACTCTTACACCACAGATAATATATATAAAAATATTCAATAACTACAATCAGTTTAGCATTATAATCTATAATTAATTGCATGGAGTAAAAACTGAAAAGTCTTTTTTATTAACGTCTACACATATAGCCATCTTCGTTCATACAGGTATCAAATTAAACATTTTACACAATGATTTCTATTCCGCGTCATACGTGACTTACTTAAACCCTAAAATACTCTAATTTCTAATTGCTGTTTTCATCATAACATCTCAATGCCATCATACATAATACTTTCTTGCAATGCTTGTAATTTATACCGGTTGCGGTAAAGTAACTCCCGTCTGGCACTTGCAATGATAACTTTCTCAAGGAATTATCCTCAGTTTTCTCTTTCCTAATCCGTAAAAAGAAATCTAAGCTTAGTACATCATAGCCTAGCTAAACTTAATGTCATTTTAAATAAAATCTATTTACTTAAAAAGCAGGCCAGATGGAAATTTCTCATGGAGTATTCGAATTGGAGATTTTGGAACACCCTGTGCAAATATAGCTGTGATAAAATCATAAAGATGGAACTAATAAATACCGGCACACTCTCGATCCATTACAATCCATCGACTATCTATAATTTAAATTTACCATGTTGCGGTTGAAGAAGTCTCAGCACTAGGTCATTGACTACCTCTATAGATCGCCCACAATCAATAAAAATAGCTCCAATTAAAGATTCAAACAGGTCTCCTAATGGTTTAGGAATCATTACGCCGTCTTTTAAACTGTTGGAATAGACCAAAGCTTTCTCTTCTGTAGATAATCTTTGTTCACACTCTTCATTCTAAATAAAAACAAGAGTTTAACCTTCACAATAGCCAATGACTAGGTATTACTAGTATTACAAGCTTTTAGACTAACCGTATCGACGATCTGTAGAAGTTGATTAATTTGGCTAAATAAGGATGGTGAATTGTAAAAGAAATATTTATGAATGCCATAAACCATAGTCATAACTGCAAGACTTTCATTCTGTAATGATGCCTCTACAAAATCGTGTAGATCTGCAGGCTTGTAGTTGTTATTCGCATGATAGCAATGTCGCACTACAATATACTGTAAAATTGCATCGCCTAAAAATTCCAACCTTTGATAGCATTCAACACCTTCAGCTATTCGATTATGGTTGTAAGTTGCATGAGTTAGAGCACTAATTAATAGTTTTCGATCTTTGAAACTATATCCAAGTACTGCTTCTAAATCTTTTAGGTTATGTGCGTTATAGATTTTGCTGATTTCCTTTCTTGCATCATCATCGAGTTTCGCAATATTATGAGATAGCCTGCCAACTTTGATACCCAAATTATTCGTGATAAAGTTATTGGCAGAATTCTCTCCAAGTTCTAAAAGAATTCCACCTAATAAAGCTTCCATAACATCGGCGATGCATTTATTTTTTAATTTCTGGGTTGGATGCACTCGGGAGGTCATACTAAGATTGAGAGTTGATAGTTGCTCCTCCAGTCCAATGCTATCGCTTTTTTTGGCAATGGAAAATCCCGGAGGAACCCATATATCGTTTTGATCCACATTATGGCCTATAATATAACCTGGTAAACCCATTTTTATACCAATTTGATATAAATTTTCGTTACTGACAATTTTCGATTTAAGTGAGCTGAGTTGGCCTTCGTGAAATTTAGAATAGGACAGGAAGAAGGAGATGGAGACTGCATATTTTAAGTAAGAGTCACCCAGGAATTCCAATGTTTCTAGGTTAAAATCATCATTTGCCCTGGCTAATGTTAATGCCTTCAATATAGTCATGGTTAGGGAATTGTTTTGTAACTGTCTTTCGTTTCGTGACGAACCGACTATCCACGACTCTTGCATTTTATTCTCAAATTCCTTTACCGAAAGCATACTTTCCATACGCCATAAAATAGATCGAATACAAGCTAAGCTTTTCCAAACTGAAGCCGGAAAAATAGACCTTTTACAAAGTTCTGGAATCAATTCGATAACCTTCGATTTGCCCTTCGAATGATGAGTTATAGTATCTGCCACAGATTGCGTTTGACTCTTATTGCAAGATTTTACAGAAAATTGAGACTTTTGCCCTGAATTAGACCGTAACATGTTACGCTTTTTAGATAAATATTTAGGCCGAAGTAAAGGTTGTGTTGTATTTTTGATCATGATACCATATTTTTCTTGATAATATGTTATGAAATTCAGGTTAGATTCTCCCCACAAGTTATCAACAGGTGTACGATGTCTACAAATTTGAGCTACTTCGTAGTAACTTGGATTATTTCCGTAATTTCGAGTTATAATCGCATCATTTAGTATATCTAAATTCCCAAGATCGATTGGGATAAAAGTTTTGTTATAACTTGCGATTCTGCTGAGAAAGTCGTAGTCAATATCTCCTTCCCTAAGCGCAAAAAATAATGCCAATTTAAGCGAAAAAATAACTATTTGCGAGTTGATTAATTGACGTACTTAGACAGAGTCCGGACAACGATTACCAGTCTTATTTAACTAGGAATTTCTACCATATTTTAAGCAACTATGCACTAGGTTCGATGTTACAAACTAAACTAGACATTTATTAGAATTTTAGAAAAATAAATTCGATATACCCTAGTAATCTAGTTTGCCATAGAAGGAACTAAGTATAATTCCTCGAAGCATGATATAAGATATGGTATATTTTCTCTATCATTACAGCTTACACGCGTATATCATCGTTTTTACTTACAGTTAGAGTAAAATTAATTAAAAGCTAAATTTGCTAATAGGTGCATTAGATCTTTTATTGGCATGGTATTATAAAAACGAATAGCTTAAATAGAAAACAAGGGGTTAAATTATTCTCTAACTTCAGCAACACTTACCATCGATCCTCAATTGGGCTGGTTTCGCTCCTAATCGGTACCACTAAATATCCAGAATAACTGTTGCTAGCTTCGAATTGAAGGGAGTCATTATGGAAAGCAAAGACAGACTTTGCCATAGTACGATTGAATCGATGGATTTTGAGCATGTCTTGGTGATTAATATACTTCGTCGAAGAACAAAGTCTTATCGATATCTTCGTCTCGCCATATGGTGTATAAAGAGAAAAGGACGGCAGCTGAAATGAATTAAAAATTGCGATCATTTTTATTTTTATAGATAACAATCTAGAAGATGATTTCCCTGATCTAAATTTCTTACATGGCTAAAATTGAATTTTATATATCTAGAATGAACCATTAATTAAGGAAAATGCTTTAAGAACAGCTCTAAGGATTTATAATTACACTATATGCTATCTTCCGGTAGATTCTGAGGTGGTTGATATACAATATAGCAATCATCATTTACTTTGATAGTCAATTTATCACAGTTAAAATTCAAATTATCCATTTTCACACTAATGTCAAATTTCGATTTCTAGGCCTGATGGATGAAATAGAAGGCTAAATAATAAATTTCAATTATTTTATGTGTCTTAAGATTTGTTCAGGTAGCTAGCATAGTCGGTGTACGTAGTTTTGATATGTAAACAAGCCATAAATTGCATCAAATCATTATGTGCGATATATTTTTTATTGAGAGATAGAGAGTAAATAATCCATTGAATTGGCTAACTCTACAGTACATCTTAAAAAGTTTCATAGTATTTCAAGCTGCGATCAATATTTAAAGGTCTTGAGAACTTTAGGTAATAATTTTTAAGTAAATATTATTGTAACAAATCATTTAGACGAACCTGAGGCAATAGCTTTGACGTGATGATACCAAATTGTCTTTTATCGTATACTTCATAAGAAGGATGGAGCGAAAAAAGGTATAGAGAAACCGCTTCATTTTCTTGAGGATGGCAATTTTGTAAAATTTCTGGCAGCTATTTATATATCCCAAGTACACTTTCATGAATAGATTGGAAAGAAAATCTAGCAGGAAGAGTGCAATATCTACTTATACTTACGTGGCGTTCATACTCAAGAATATTGACTTTAGAGTCTTCATTTTCGTTATTGATATCTTCATCATCTTTTGATACCTCTGCTACGAGATAATTTGCAGGAATAAGATGATCATTAAATTGCCCAATTTTATATAATTCTTTGCATACGATGAAAGCCGTTTCCATTTTGGCAGCTTTCTTATTTTTCATATATGGCCCCTAACAGTCAAGAGAAATGATGGACACGAGTTAGCAAAATGCTATCGGAATAATACTACAACGATAGAATATTTAAACATGATTTTATAAGACAGGTAATGATGATATTGAATGTAATGACTATTGTGGTTGAGGTTTTGGCAAGACTGCAAACAATAATACACTATAATATAGCTGAGGAGGATATGGAATAGAAGTGTTTCAAATTTCGATTTCTCTTAGGAGAAAAAAATTGGTTGTGTTGTAATCCACCGAGAAAACGCATATTTTAAAGCTAAATTCCTTTAACAGACTAAGAGACATCTATACGGCTAGAGTTGATGATAGCACGGAATACTGATGGTTCAAAGTTTAGTAGATTAAAAACGCCAAGCTATAATTGATCTAGAAATCATATGCTTTGAAGTTTATTTCCTTTAGCAGTTTAAATGGCGACTACATGCTATGCTAACACTAATGATGATATGAGACATAGGTATCTTAATGTTTATTGAGAAAATTAAAACATCATTATTAGCCATGCTATAATTAACGATGACGAGTAAGATAGTACCTCAAATATTGATTAACTGGATAACCGAGGATAAATTCTACTATATACAATAACAGTACGTATATCTTAAAATCTCTTATTCTCACCGAAATACTACTAGTTAGAGGTGAGCAACTAGGCATCGTAATAGTTGCTCTATAGCTCTCAAGCCCTAACTCATCAAATTTCACAAGCGGTGATGCTGGCGTGTATATGTCTCTTGGTAGTGAGCTGCAATACCTTGATGAAAGCAATCAGGAAAATATTAGTTATTAAAAATGATATTTTAATTCTTACAGATATTAGCAGTGGTAGTGTAAGAAATAATTTATCTTTCTATAACAGGAGAGTTTATCCTTACAGTAACAATTAAACCGCTAGATATATCTAATCACTTCATTAGCACCACTTTAAATACTGAACTAACCAATTTAAAAGCTGAATACAATTATGCACGGTTAGCTTAGCCCCAGTAGATTTAATTTCGAAAGGTGGTGATAACTCGAATTCTAAATTGGATAGAAAATCAATCATTTCTTTGGCAGCTTCCCTGTTATGGCAGTGTTGTTGCAAATACTGTTCAAGCTTAGACCAATATTGTATTTGATTTAATTTCATTTTCTTATCCTTTTCGTCAATCATGATAATAAAATGAGACAATTTAGCTCGGGCTCTACCTTTAGATTGCATATACGAGCTAAATGTTTTAATTTCGTTAAAACGAATAACGATGTTACATTTAGGAATGTCGATACCCTCTTCAATAACATTAGTTGCTATTAATAAATTAATCTGATGCTGGCGAAATTTATTAATGTTACAAGCCTGCTGCCGATTCGTCATATTGGTCATGACTTGATTAGAGCTTACTTTTGTACCATGGCCAATTACAAAACCGCATTTAAATAATGACCACGTTGAAGGCATTAAATCCGCTAAGGTATTCAATATCTGGCTTAAAACCGTAGCTATGCAACGTTTTTCAACGAAAATTATACCGCAAAATTCCTTGATATTATCCTTTAGATTGGCTTGATACTTTTGCAAGACGTTTAAAAGTAAAAATATCTTGGGATGAGAATAGACAGATTTCCAATTACTACCATCGACATCTATAACATTCTCTTGAATTTGCTTTAAATTTCTCAAGATTAGCTGTAATATCTTAATTTCATATCGATTGATACCAACTTTTAGACCTTCAAACTGGGTAATAAGAGATTTGATCATAATATGCAAACCAAACTCACCTAGCTCTTCGTATACTGAAATACAATCTTTGTGAGCACTTTCTATAATTCGAGTGTGCAATTGAAGCCTATTATAGTCATGTAGGTATTCTTCATCACGGCTTTTACTCCAATATTCTTTGTGGATGGTAACATCGTCCAATAAATAGCTTAATTTTGACTTTAAGCCAAATTTATCTACATCAGATTGACGAAAAAAGACTAAATCCTCTTGAGGTTTTGTACTATATTTAGATAAATTTTGTTGAAATGTTGTGGTAGCTACGCGACTCAACATTAATGATTCTAATTGCTTAATCTTGAGCTCAATTTGACTTTCCTTGCATTTCCCATGAATTACTGATGCTGTAAGGCCAAATATGATTGGACGCCTTATTGCATCTTCAGTATGGACATAATCTCGCATAATCTGGGCATAAACATGCCTACCTACAGCTTGATGGCACTCATCGAATATTAGCAAATTAATATGACTGACTTTAATGTAGCCATGTTGTAAAATTTGCAGTAAGATAGCTGCTGTCATGACCAGAACTTGATGAGATTCCAGTTCCTCCTTCCATTTTGGCTGTTTCCATAAATCCACGCCATCTTCGCCAGCATAGTTGCCAATTTTTAAATTGGTATGTTTCTCTAATACCTTACTTTGCTGTCTCACCAATGCAACTGGGTATGCCCATAGAAAAACAACAACAGTAATGTGTTAATATGAGGTCAGTATACTAATAGAATAATTTTGAATGAAATTATGGTTTTGTTCGCTTACACTTAGTAAAATTTGTTAGCTGTCTGAGCAACTTTAATTGCTGACTCATACTATAATTTATTAATGTCCGTCAATATTTCCTTTTCTAGAATATTCAGTTTATGCTCTTTCCTATCTAGTTGATATTAACGATAATGCTGCCGTTTTAGCAAATAAATTAATGATTATAAAATATGAATGGGTGATTTTATAGTTTTTATACATATTTTCGACTAGTATTGTGCATTAAAGGTATTGGGGACTCTTCCATCATGCTAAAATATCAATTTGTAGTCATGAGAGATAATGGTTATTTTCCAATCAAAACAATATAAGAATAGATCAGATAGTCAACAAAAATAAGCACTTTCGTGTGTACACGATAGTAGATCAGACGATCTTAATACCGCATTAATCATAGTTTACATCTTGATGCACTGCATTCCAATGAGCAGATAGTTTCCAGTTGGACAGGAAACCATATAGCAGTGGCAGTTATGCTCTCAAAATAATCAGTAAACTACTCCTTAGTGCACTGCCCTGTATTCTTGTTGATAGATAGCTCCAGTTTAAGATTGCACTTGATAGCAGTGATAAAATCTACTTAAAATGGGTTGTCTACTATACTTGTACACAGAAATGGGAGAATAGTAAATACAGTCCTTTCTACTAATACGTAACTAAGTTTATTATTGAAACTAATGACTGGATGACAATCACTTTAACCTTATTTTATGATTAGTAAAATGTTAAGTATAAATCAATTGCTTTTTAATCTTACTACTTTTAATTCTAGAGTATTAAGATAATTTCAGTTGCTGGTTGTGATGACTAATGTAAACTGAATACAAATTTTTATTTGCGTTTTTCACCCTGGGCTGGAATTGTCCTGGCTCAGAACACTATTACGCTTTTTTCTATCAAATTTCTATCAGTGTTTATTGAAGAGGAGAGAGAAATTTCTTATTCGATATTATCGAGAGAAATGTAATATAGCTGTTATGCATACTAAAGATATCCCAACTTAAAACATCTTCAGTAGTTCAGTATCTAATTCTATCAGGCTATTAGACATTAAATTGCATTTTCATTTCTGCGCTATCTAATCATATGATTCATATCTAATAAGTAATTTAATTAGCTAAATCTTCATATTTTTGAGATATTAAATTATATTTATATACGATATATAGTATAAGCTTATTATTAATTAAGCTCGTTCTAATTTTATCCCGTCTAATTACGCTTGGTTACTACGGTAAGTATTTAATTGTGTTCTATTTTTATATTTGCAATATGTAATGTTATTCCTGCCTAATAATGGATTTGCTTGAGTTCAATTTTCGTGTTTTACAGTATATAATCATATATAATCATAAAAAAGTGTTGAGTTTTCTTTCTTTACAGTATGTACATAATCGTTTCCAACTACAGTACTGTATTGAATGGAGTTAAATTTTTATTTTTTGCTGAGGCCATTGACCTCTACTGTTGAATTAGATTAGATTTTAAACTTTCACCTTATTGCTGCATCGAATCAACTGTAGCTATTGAATCGGGTTTAGATTTCATTTTTATGTCTCGTGTCAGACTATAGCTTGAAATTTCCCTTATTTTATGATATATCTAATCATCTATAACTGTTAAATGCGATTAAATTCCCTTGTTTCGGAGTACCTTATCATATCGTATTTATCTCCTGAATTAGATTCAGATTTCTATTTTTATAATATATCCAATCATCTATAACTATTAAATTAGATTTAAATTCTATTTTTCAGAGTACGATATCTAACCATGTATAACTATTGAATTCGATTTAAACTCTATTATTTCGGAGTAGCTAATCATACCATATTTATCGATACTATTAAATTAGATTTAAAATCCGTATTTCAGAGTATCTAATCATCCCATATTTAACTATTGAATTGAATTAAATTGCCGTTCTTTGAGTATGTACCACCTCAAACTGATCATAACTATTGGATTGCGTTAAAATTTTCATGTTTTAACCGTCATTATACTTAGCGATTGTTTACATCTTTATTCAGTAACATCTAATCCTACTGATACCTTCTGAACAATAAATTAGGGGAGATTAGATTTGCATCTTTTAATCAATACCGAATTATGTCTGACTACTTATTTACTTAGGTAATCAAGATGATCATGCTAATTATGATATAGGAAAGTATCGGCTACAAAGAAAGTGCACCTTTTATATTAACCGCCAGTAAGTATTGAAAGATTGTCTTTCAATTGACAAGTATTGGATACAGCTAAATTAATGTTTAAAATATTCTACAATATCAGGTGGCTATCTTAACGGATGGAATTGTAGGAAAGTATATTAAGACCTTATATTGCTATTGCTCTAAAGCAAACATCTTCTAGTTGATTTTAGATTGATATTTTAGATTTAATTCGAAATTGATGACAGATAGGCTGTTGATTCTTATTAGTCATCGTAAGTGAGTGAAAGAGTCATTTATCTACAACTTCCATTTTATCTTACAAGATTTGTGCAATATTTAAAAAATTTCGATATAGTTTAGATTATCTAAATCCTGTATCGTGCAATCATTTCAAGCTTTAGTTCATGACTTAAAGAAATTTTTTAGCCGTTAGTGAGTCAATAAACATATTAAATTCATCATAGATTTAATTTTTGCGTACTAGGCAAAAAATATGGACTTGATATTGCTTGTTACAACTGCCGCCTAAGTTAGAAATGTGAATTTTTAGTTTTGATTGGATAGAATGAGAAACAGTCTACAATTCTAAGTATCGTCAATGGCGAAGCAAATATCCATCTTACAGTCATTTAACGTGAAAATGGATATATTCGAGGACAATCTAATTGATAGAATTAGATTACGGTAACTCTACTTTAGAGTACCGTATGGCTGCATTTTTATAATAAATATGATTTAAGAGTTGAATTCTATAAACCTTAACTTAATGGTGCGAGGAGGTAGCAATCGTCGATTTATCTAATCTCTATAGAAATAAAAGAAGCTTCTGCTTTACCTGTATTGACCAAGAAAAATGTTTTCTTTCCTCCTTGCTCCAACGGCATGACCGATATTTCATGTTGTAACCTTTTTATCAGCATGACAGCAATAAAAGTTTTACCACTGCCAGTACTTAAGCAAACTATCGTATTACTTTTTAAGGCAGTGTCCAACAATTCGCATTGGTATGGACGAGGTTGAATTTCTTCTGCATTGTGGCTTGATTTCTCCATGATTCTTACAGGCTATCTTATGTTCTACATGAAAGCATGACAAGGCCTTTACTTAGTCAGTAGTCAAAATAGTTAGCGAAAGTAATACATCTAAAATAGTAGGTTATCACGGAAGCATGATAAGCTATAAATTTCTCCTTGAATAGATTATTTTACACAAAGAAAGATTTGTATCTTTTAAGACTAGCTATCGTCAGAGATGTTGACTAATCTCCTTATTAAGGTATCATTTCATTTTTATCGATCTTACTGTATCTTGTGGGAATTTTCCTTATCGAAATCAATCCTTTTGATTTCACCACCGTCAACGAATGCGATCACAGAATGTCCACCGCCTAATCAATTGCTGGATTAGAAATAGTTATAGACCAAAATTGTTTGCTTTGCCTGACGTCAAAATAGGTGTGGGAGTTATTAAAATGATCGAATTGGTTATTCAATCAATCGATTATTTAAACTATCGTATACAACGTTTCCAGCCGATAGTATGACGAAGTGATATAATTATCAACACGATCACTCTAACGCAGAAGTATAGTTGATGATCGTAAAATTCAAGCTGAAGAATGTCAGTGATGGCATTAATAGGATTGACAAAACGTTAATTAAACTCGATGTATGGCTAATTCAACAGAAAAATGATGAGTTGGCACTTTTGCATAAGAATAGAACAATGTTATTATTGATAATCAAATTTCTTTTAAAATATTGTATTCGTAACATGTTATCCACCAAATGATCTAATTGAATGACTCCTAAATTATCATAATTTCATCCTAGTAGAACACTAAGTCTGTTTCAATAGAAAAATAAGACTCGAAAAAACACAGCGTTAGAAATAGCGAGAGACGTTGGCAACGTTGATGATTATGTATCAAAAGGTAATGGACCGGAAACTGTCGATAAAATGTTTTTTCCAAACTGATGCGTTGGCACCTGAAAATATGCCGCCTAAGCACTTTCTAGTGAGAAGAAGGGAAGTGGATTAGCGCTAGATTTATTTACATTACAACACGTCGTCTAGAGGAATCTTCAAGCTGATAGGTTCTCTTCTCGGAGGATTCTTTATTTATATGGACGCCTGCTATCCTTTCGGCCAAGTGTGGCTAGAAATGCAAGAACTCATTGAATAATGAGGAATAGAATAACTACATCCAGAAACAAAAAGTCTATTCTCGTTGTACATCCACCTTTATAGCCCCTTTTGTATAAGAAAGAATAGAGCCAAGCTATGATATAACCAAATTTTGAAAGCAACAAGCAGTTATAGTTGAATAGAGTTTAAGAGTGACTAATAATTTCGCACTATCCAATCGTATTTCGACAGTTTTTAGATGGTTTGGTTGCATCTTCAGTTGATTTTTCAGTTTTTTAAGAGGTTTAATGCCACGATTTTCTTTTGTACAACACTTTGATATTGTAAAACAATATACATACTATGAAACTACCCCAACATTGTGGATGCTACATGTGGAATTTAGAGACAGCAACAGCTAGCTTATGTGGGATAAGATTCGATATCTTGGCTTAGAGTTCTAACAGGGCTAATACTTCTTCAGCCATTTTACCATCACTAATAGTTTCTTGGGAAGGGATTTGTTGCTTTCGTAACCAGTAATTGATAAGTATTTCTAATCGTACTGCTATATTCTGATAGTTACCTGATGTAACTTAACACTATCTACAGTATACTGTATTAATAATGTTGTATAGTACTGTACAGTTTTAGATGTAGCAGATTACCTTATGGTGCATTGCGAGTAGATTATAAAACGAGTTGTTGGCGAATGCCAGGAGGAATTGTGACTATACAGGCAGTTGAAGTTATATTAGTGTTTTGGAGCAATTATGGTCCCTACTTCTATGATAAAAAGGGTATTTCTATTTCCTGTGAGAACCCTTGGCCTCCTAGTATCCAGTGATCGTAGCAGTAATCATCATTAAAATCGTTATTATAGTTTGTAAAGTAAATCACTGGAAAGATTATCGAGATTCTGCACTAAAATACGGATTTGTTATCCAATATTTCGACTTCACATCTCATATTTCCTAACCCCTCATTATGATTAGAAATAGAAATATACCACGTATTTAATTTATATCACGAGCAATTTGTCAATAACGGCAAGAATAAATCAAATAAATTGTCTTATTATTTTAATATCTTCTTTAAAATTCGCTTATTGAACATCACTTAATTTTACCTAATTAAAATAATTATAAATTTGTAGTTATAGGCAACTACTGAATGGTCATTTCTGTTAAAAGTAAAACCTTTTAAAGATGACAAACAATAGCATCCGTCTATATAAAATTGAAAATTTTTTTCTTAGTCAAAAGCAACGATAGTATTTTGCAAAGCATACATCAGAGGCAGGCAGATTCAATAATAAAGTGTTGGCAAATAAATACATTTAGATTGCAAAATTTTAATTTAATAAGCTTGGACCATAAAACTTTGCAGCCAGTGGCCGGTGTTTGCTACGGCTATTATGTAACTGCGACGATTTACAACTTTTCTGCTTGCTTGATTTTTTCTCTGGACTAAATAATGGAAGTGATGATGATGTTTAATCCGATATGATTAAAACCTAATATGAGATTACCATTCGACGATAAACATAGATAGAAAATTAAGCCCTTACCTCAATGATTTCATGTCAAACATCGTTGTTCGCTTTTCTAAAATATTAGCAATAACTGGTGGAGGCCTAGAATCTTCAATAGCTTTCAATTTCTTCTCTTTAATAACACACTGACTACATCTAATTTTATTCGTCACTACAAATAGAATAAATTATTAATATTAGAATGAGATCGAGCAGGATAATATCATTCTAACACTATCACTGTAGTACTGAATATTTTGTAGAAAATTAAGTTTTCTTGCTTAGATTTCATTATTATCCAATTACCCGCTTTGGTAATTACTTGTGGATGCCCACCACGACGAGCAGTATCTATTGCATTGTCTCCGATTTGGTTACGAACGTCAGTATGATCACCATGATGATTTAATAGACAGTTAAAACACTCAGCATGGCCACCTAAAGCTGCGAAATGAGTTGGAGTTTGCCCTAAGCCTAATAGACAGGCCATAAGAAAATTTTTCTTTACTATCAAAATATTCCTGCCTGATTAATAACTCTTTTATCATCTACAAGACTTACGATCGGTAACATTAGGATCGGCACCTTTCTCAAGTAGCCAATGAAGACATTCGACTGATCCATTTTGAGCAGCCTATATCATCATTTAAATCGTTATTGATGTCACACTTTAAATCTTTTAACGCCTAAATATTAGTCCTATAAAATCATCTACAATCCTTTGCTGTCTTAAAGTCAGTAATATTAAGCAATGACTTTTCTTTTTAATCTTAAGTTTTTGACTCTCTTAAGCTAGTCATCACATTAAGGAAAAATGATCTTTTCCTTCAATCTTTTACAATCTACATATAAGGTAGCTATAAAATAGCAAAAACTATGTTTCATCTTGAATAGTCTTTAATGTTATTCCAGAAAATACACAACAATTATCCCAGTCTTGAATCTATTAAATCTAGCAATATATTGTTAAGACTATCTTGAATAGAATAGGAAGTATAGGTTATCCCTTATTTTAAATCTATCAGAGCTAGCAATAAACCGTAAAGAATTTTTCCATTATTAAAAGTAATAATGGAAAGCAAAAGCTTTCATTATCCTAAACGATTCCTAAAACGATGTTAGAAAAAGACTATGAAATCTTCATTATCAAACTTCAGTATCTTTGAGCTAATAACAGTCATACAGGTATACAGTACAAAGTAGAAGCCTATGCTTATCCGGAAATCTATTACTGCTTAAAAGCAGCAAGATATTGTAAACCATTTTTAATTCCCATTTACTGAATTATTTCTGCCGACATGCGAATGTTATAATCTTGTAACTCTCACTTACCATATGAGCTAATGTTTTCTTATTATTGTCGAGTATATCGAGATCACAACCAGCTATTTCAACCAAATACTTTAAGCAATTTAATTTACTTATCGTTGCTGCATAATGTGCTGGTTGGGCACCAATTCGATCAATGCAATATAAATTCACGTCGTACTTATACAACAATTGCAATACATGATAGGAGCCATGCATGCAAGTTAAGTGAGCAGGATGTCTTCCAGCAGTATCACGTTTATCGATGTTAATTCCACTAGTAATCAACACTTCCATCACGTCAGGATGATTCTTAGTCGCTGCTAAATGAGCTGCAGTCCTACCAAAATTGTCTGTTATATAAGCTACAGATGGAGTAGGGTAACGTGTTATAATAGTATTAAATTTAGTACTATCCGTTGAAGTTACAATTAGCAAAAGTAATCCTAATTGAATTCTCTATTTTCGTACTAAATCAGAATTAGCCATCCTTAAATAGTATCGTAGTCAGAAGGTATTGGCTTTTTAGCTTACCGTTTGCACCCTTCTCCAACAATACTTTTACACAGTCTGCTTCTCCATTATAAGCTGCCAACTGCATGGGAGTATGCATTTGATCATCTTGAATATCCATACAAGCACCATGTCTTAAGAGTTCTTCAACAACTTGTGTATGACCGCCGATGCATGCTTCGTGTAAAGCAGCTCTACCACTAGAGGTTTTGCTGTCTACCAATGCTTTTGCCTGCCCATTTCAAAAGTAACTCATTTTAGTTTAATGGCATAAAACTAACATGGCTATTAGTAAGTAACACTTATAGACTGGTATGCCGGTTAATATCCCTTTTGCTTATATCAGTATCTTAATCGACATGTCTGCTGATCATAAACATACTTGCAATAAAGACTCGACTGTTTCTTTGTGGCCATATCCAGCTGCACAGTGCAATGGTGTTCTATTATTATTACCGCATACGTTAGGATTAATGTGATCTTTAAATAATAAGGCCACTACTTCACCGCTATCGCCCCTTTCGGAAGCTAATAATAATTCCACAGCATTTTCCAGATCGTGGACAGGTACAAGCGAAGTCGAATTAACAGTTAGAACTAAAAAATATCAGTTCAAGCGCATGATTATTATTTTTCGACTATGTACTCGTATAGGATCAATTTTACAGTTTTAGTATAATTTTATTATGCTAACAATTTTGATTAAAATTATAATACGATATAATTATGCACTGGAAACATACAACATGTTAATGGCTTCATTACCTTGTCTGGTATCTGTAACGACCGTCGACATTTCACTTGAAAATCCGGTGATTGATGAAATGACAGATGAGCGACGACTAGGAAATCTGCTTCCACTGAGATTGCTACCACTTCGGAAATTAGCACCATCAACTTGTGATGAATTTCTTCTAGAGTATGATGGCATACCTCTATTTAATGCATGTAATTTCATCTTTAATTCCGTATCTTCAAGTTGTAATATTGTATTCAAAAATTCTAAATCTTCATTATCATCATCCTGTACATTGTCTGGCTTCGTTTCTGAACTAGCTGGTTCGCTAGCGCTATCGAGACTACCTCCATTTTCTTCATCATTTAATAAAATAGCATCAATACGTAATTGCTTATGGAGCAATGGATCTTGGATATCCATCTCAGCAAGATCATCGTCCTCTACAGCATACAATTCTTCGGCAGTAAACATTAGAGATCCAATTTGAGAATTTTCGGCATGATCAGCATCATTACCATAATTCTCTGGATATAAAATTTCATCCTGTCCCTTAATAGGCTCTGCATCTTCCGCTATACTTGATCTTCCCGAAAGATTGGAATGGACTCTTTTCACATCTGGCGATTGTCCACCATCACGATCAGTCATTAACTTTTTATTAGTAGATTGTATGTCAATATTTTGGGTAGTGGCATCCATCACTACTGTATGTACATTCCAAGCTTATTGGGCAATCAATTAATAATTTTATTTAATCTTATTTTACCATTCAGCAAAAGCCTGTCTTGAAGTTGATAAGAATATAAATTCTATTTGAATCGTCGATTGATAACACTAGAATTTATAGTAGGTAGTAATACAAAACAGGATAATTCAGTAAGTCTGTTATTAACCTTGAATTTATTCAACGATCTTTATAAATGTATGGAGTGCGGCCACCAATGAATAAAATAAAATTCAATTTAAGAAGATTCGATGTTATCGGACGACAAGTGAATTAAAGTATTAAGGTAGTCTTAAAATGACATTAAATATTATTTGATAATCCTTCTTATTACTAAGCTAATTTTTAAAATGGGAAATGGCTGCTGGGCTAATTAATTATTCTCTAAAGTAACGTTGTCTTCCTTTGCAACGAATTAATATAATTTATTCGGTTGCTATGCGACCCCTAAACCATTGACTATGGCTGCCTGCCTACTTGTAAGACAATGTCTCTACGACCAGCGAGTCTATACAGAAGATAATATCGCAATTTTCAAGGCGTATAGGAATATTTTAGCTAGCAATTCAACCAGTTTAGTACTACTGTCGTGAATTTCTGGTCGGTAGGTTATGTTTGGTCTAGCCATGAAAGTATTTTGATATTCGATAGCAAATAAAGTTTAGTTGATTTAATTTGAGTAACTTGCTGTTGTTCAGCAATGGATGCCGTCAGTCAAAACCATGTTAACTAAAGTATTTGACCCACTAGTTTATTCTCAATCTATTACGTATTCAAGGCTATTTTGTTTAATTGATGCGATGGAAGATTCTATGCTTGTTGATCAGCGTTGATTCATGTAATGATGGCAATGGCATAGTCATCATAATGAAGGGACCTGCTAGCAGGTACCAGCGTTTGCTGTCATCATTAATAATACACATCATTGTAGGTTTATTATTATTCTTTCATCAATCCTATTTGCTATACTATATCATATTAATTATTATTGCTTTCTCCATGAGGTAATGATTGAGAGTATTGTTATTAGGGCATGCAAAATATTCAGCAATTTCATCGAAATAATGATTGTATTGGCAAATAACGTTAAGAATGGGCCATCAAAAGGGCGTGTATAAAGTTTGACTAACTGTACGAATTGAATGCTCTAAAGCGTGATATACAAATAACTCCACACGAGTAAGTCATTCCGTATCATCAATACGAAGCATAAATAATTTGAAAGGGGGTTAATTCTAATTGTAATTGGCCTTGATGATCTGTCCCTTAAAGTGTTGTAAATAGTGTTGGATATTACGATGTATGTTACACTCGGTATTGGATAGAGCGTGAAGTATATGATTAGCATATCATCTATATAAGTACTTAGGATATGATGATTTGTATTTGTAGTCTTGTAATACCGTACATGATTATATATTGTAAAAGACGGACTAATAATTTATTCTATATACCGTATATGCATGCATCTGTTGTAAAGTAAACGATAGCTATCATAGTTAGTCATTGGATGTATGTGTTAAATGCCACAACACAAAAAGGCAAAAGGTGCAAGCTGAAATATCTACAGTATAAATACCCAGCATTTTTAATATTAAAGTTAGTTACAAATCTTACTCGCGGAGTAGAACTCATTGCTTCAAAATAGAAAATAAAGTAGACATTATACTACAGTATATCCACTTTAAAAATGGATTGATGACTGATTGAGTTGACTAAAAGAGAACTATGCGTGTATTGGAATCGAGAAATTTTGCATTAGTGCAAGCTTGTCGTTGCGATGCTTTAGAACTCATTGCTTCAAAATAGAAAATAAAGTAGACATTATACTACAGTATATCCACTTTAAAATGGATTGATGACTGACTGAGTTGACTAAAAGAGAACTACGCGTATATTGGAATCGGGAAATTTTGCATTAGTGCAAGCTTGTCGTTGCGATGCTTGCTGTACTATCGTAGCATCATCAAGCTGATGGCATTGGATCATCATCTTGTAACTTATCTATGCCAATATATTGACTCGTAGGAAAGGGAATTTTAAAAGGAAAACTAGTCCCTGCTCTAAGTGAGTGGTATCATGCCTGCTCGACAGCTAGAATACCCGCTGAACAGGATAGTAGTGGGATAATTGGTCCAAGCAATGGCAGTTCTCGACCGTAGATTATCCACTTTCGATCGCTGATTGAATTAATTAATTTGCTACCATCTCCTTAGCCATAGCGATATGCCTTAGCTAGCCTCCAACTCTACCAATGCCTATAGTGTACATCGCCATTTCAGTACGTCTATTGCAGCACTAGACGCCAGTATGGGACCGTCGATAGCTCGATCCAATCGGAAGTGGATAAATAGTCCAAATTAAGCGAGAATCGAAGGGCGATTTCTTTCCCTACATGACTGTATTACGCAGCAGCGAGTTGCGCCGTGGAGTTTGAAAACCAGCTGAAAGCGATCGCCGTTGATCAACAACAGCTCGTCCATTTGTTGCAGCTGATCTCGATTTCAATTTTCTCTTCTTGTCATCTAGTTTAGTAGGACCCAATTTTTCAAGGATAATGGAATCTGAAATGGAACCTGAAATAGAACCTGAAGTGTTGCAGCCATCGTTGATTCAGAATAATGATAAACTCAGCAAAGAAGAACAGAGTGCAATATTGGCCGTGATGCAACGAGCAAAGGTAGAGTGGGCAACAATTCTATCCCTAGATACAGTAACACGATGATCTTATTTTCAATTTGCTATTTATATGCCATACAAGTTACTCTCTTGCCTTTTGCAACATCACCAAATATTGCTTGAATAGCTCTTGATATAGTCTTCAATGATTAGAAATAGGCTAACATGCCGTTGGATACTTTGGGGGAGGGAGGGGGGACTATTTTTGGTAAGACTTGATCAACGAGGGGGGTGTAGCTAGAGCTATTTTTGCCAATTCTGCATCACCAATGAAAGGGATAGATGAACTACGACAGATTGCAAAATCCCGTCGAGTTAGCCTTTTAAATTGTCTAGTTCACGCGATGGCCTTGATAAAATTCTATTTCAAGCTAAAGAGGAAGGATCAAGCTTAGTCAACAATGTTTATTGGACGGATTTGCCTTGTACTCGATTGTATTTACAATGCGATCGACATTTCCACGAATTCATTATCAGTGATCAAAGTTTCATCAAATATTTAGATAATTGAGTTTGGGGATAAAGTCAAGAAGAAACACTTTTCCTTCACTTCAGGGTTGAGTTCATTCCTTTAATTTAAGTTTATTAACGCAACTATCTCAAAGAATGCCTCTGTAGGGTGCCTTTACAGTTTTTGGGGGGCACTCGCTAAGAGCACGAACTAGTAGTCGATAGTAAGGGCAATATCGGACGAGTGTAGAATACTGCCGTGACGATTGGCTACCCTAAGTCTGGATACGATTTTACTACAACACATTCGTCCTAAATAAAGAATCGACCTAATCGCTTTAAAACATGTACCGATAGTCTTTGTCGCGTATTATCCTACTTCATTAATTAATTAATTTATAAATTCATCAGTAGAAATCACTCTTCATGATTGGTGTAGAAGGATACAATTAGACTCATTCTACGCGACGATCATGACAATAATAACTACCAAACGTATCCTTCAGCTCTATGGGCCACTTTGCTTTTAAAGTACTCTGTATGTTGTACATCAAACGACAGCTGAAGTTGATGAAAAATAAAACAGAATCCATCTTGACGTCTCCCCTTACACCAAAAAGGAACGGTGGATACAATTGCTTTTAAAGTACTCATACTGCATGTTGTACATCAAACGACAGTTAAAGTTGATCAAAAATAAAACAGAATCCACCTTGACGCCTGCTGTTACACGGAGAAAGAATTGTAGATACTAGTCAATAAAATCAAATCAATTCTAAATGACAATTATCCTCCATGACGTAATTTATCACTAGCAACTTGGCTATTGGTGTTGTGTTGATACTTTATAAATTAATGAAGATTTCAAGATTGAATTATCTTATAACTCTCCACTGTTGTGTCAATGCACATCATCACAAGGGCAGAAATGCATCATGATGCTAATTGTAATGTCTCAATCCAATTAGAATAGCTCTTTCAATCAATGGACTCTCGTATGGGCCCCATATAGGCCACCAAATTAGGATAATAAGATTTGAAAGAGCCATTTTGAAATTGATTCAGCTTCAGAAATAGAAGAGTCGGCTGTTATTCAGCTACTTGCCATGCCACTGTTGACAAGGTACTGTACTATACTAGACCGAGAGTTGCATACGGTATAACTTACATGATAGGATTGCAGTATTCACTAGTCCAATCTTGTAGTAAGGACGGTAGTCTACATTGCTTCCAATAGCAATTTCGATGACGGCTCTTCTCTTTCCCTATCATGATTGTTACAACTATCCATTTTATTCGCCATTAAATGCGATTAGAATTGGTTTTACAACCTTATAAATTATCGTTCCTGTTCAAGTAAGTTAATAGAAAGGTCTTATTGATGGCATGTATCTTATACATAGTAAAGTATGAAATGCGATAGAGATCATTAGATAAATCGATCATGAAGTGACGATTACTACTCGCACATTGGCCAGTTTTAATCGACATTTTACTGTTGTCAGTTTTTGCTTTTGGTAACCGATGTAGCAGTGGCTACCGCTGATAACTTAATTCCATGTACATTAGTAATCATTACATCACTGTATCAATACGACTAGTCCAATATAAAATCCTCAATGAACGCCCTAATGGTGTTGTTAGCGATCGATCAGGCCTTCCCGATATTATATTATCATCACGACATCGATAAATTGCGCTATAGAAATCTGGGTCCCTTCCGTCATTCATGCCTTGCAATAATAATTATAATTTGTTCGAACTAAAGAAGCTTTTAAAATCGATCAAACGATTGCTATAGCGATAGTATGTAATTTAAATTAAGACTGAATCATAAACTTCCAGAACCTAGTTGCAGGACTCTGGCACGCACTCACTTAATGTACTAGTGTACGTTATACTGGATCTCTTTTCTTAGAGCGGAAAATGATATGGATTACTGGACCTTGAAGCATCTTCTACGTTGTAGTGGGCACCATTTTTTAAATAGAAACGCCTTAAAATTTCTATATAGGTCCTAAATTATTAAACTACTGTACAGTATCAATGTTAAATTGTTGCTATTCTCTATTGCATTGACACGAAGACAGTTCAGTCCATTAATCGCAAATGACTACTGTGCTTTGAACAACTTTGTTTTAATTTATTAAGTATCAGCAGTAACAAGGCTAAAATCAATTTTTTTTCCATGAATCTATCAACATGGCAACACCGCATCGCATCCAATCTTAGACCTTTGAAGAGCAAACAGTCATGAGGTATGTTACCGCATATTCTGTATAAAAATGTCTCTTTATCATGCACTACTATATCTTATGCCAATTACTTAGGTTATTGTAGCGTTCACATAAAACTGTCTAAATAGTAGTTCTTTGCACATACCGCATAACTTTAAAATATAATCTACGCTTAGATCAGTACTATCGTGTAATCTCTTCTACTTATCTTCAATATTCGTAGTTCCATATTGAATATTAAGATACTATCATGATCAAAGCCGATATTCGTATATATTGCATTGTATAACTGCATCATATTCCCTCATTCAATGTTATGTCTATGGCAATTTAGTAAAGTTTACGAAGGATCCTTGTTAAAATACACCAACGTGGTAAAAGGGTGGCAAAATAGATGGTTCGTTTTGGATTTCCAAAAGGGTACCCTAACCTATTTCCTGGTAAGTGTTTATGGATATTGATAGCATATTATACACCCGTATTCTTATTGCATGATGTGAGTCGGGTATCTAATCCATTACGGAAATATAGAATTGCTGTAGAAACTGGTACATACGCACAACAGACATTAGTATTCTCTACTGACACTGAAAAAATCAATTTTACAGTATTACCTTTTCACGATAGGCGATAAATTTAAATTAGTAGTGATCCATCCCCAATAATTTTAACAGCATCACTTAGTAATAGCCTCCTTAGGCCGGTTTCAACGAAAACTGTATACGAGTATGCACTTAATATTTGCATTATTTCCTACAGCACCTACTGAATTATGGCTACTATTACTTTAGGGTAGAGAGCACAAAATGTTCGATTCCCATCTAGTTCACACTGTTAGGATTGGCAGTTTACTGTCTTGCAATAGACTCCATCCTACCAAGTACCCTTAATTAATATTATTTACCGAGTTATCCTAAATTACCGTATACCTAAAGTGTGTACTATTTTCGAGAAATAACTCAAACGACTGCAAGACAGTCTAGGAGAATTCAAATACCGTCAAAATGTACTGGAATTAAGGCTAGTGATTTCATCATTTATTCTTCTTTATGATTCTTAGACAGAAGATAAAAGAAAGCAAAACAATCCCCGTGGATCCTTACCTTTATCGGTAAGTATCTCAGTTTATATTATTACACTAGTGTGAGATCTTTTGGACCGGTTTTAGGGTATAGTAGTACTTAATAAGCTGAACAGTGGTGCATTTTTGTTTTATAACATATAAGAATACTCCTTCTGTGCTGGCATTTTAATATGCTGTAGAATAGATAGAACCATCATTAATGTGGATGCAATTTTATGGTATTCACGCTAAATTCTTCCAACTTTCTGTCTATGATATGATATAATGCTTTTAGGGCGCTTTAATTTCTCCTAGTGATGAAGATTCTCAATCATTTGGTATTCACGCTTCAACGGCAGAAGTTTACAAAATTAAAGGTGAGCTTGCTGTCTACAGTAACACTCTGTACTTAGCTACTGGATTTTCATGCTTACATCTATTACCTGGTTCACTGCATCAAGTAGTAGGTAGCCTAATGATAACTATAAATTAAAGATAAAAGAGAGCGTTAAGCTGTAAAAGCTTATCTATTATATTAGGATATATAATTGCAATGTCTTTCATTTTAGCTCATTACGATAGACATAAGCAGTTATGCGTTCATGTATTGCTAATGTTTAGCACACTTTACGTCCAAAGTAAGGCGAAAGCAGACTATCCTTAAAAACTGAATACTATCCGTTATCTCAAATAAGAGTTATTATTACATCTGCTGATGTAATAATAAGACAGAAACAGACTACTCTTAGCAAGCCAATATTAAATATTTTCTTAAATAATAATTACTATTGCAGCTGCTGATGCTAAAAGCCGTCAGGCTTGGATCTTACGTCTTAGGAAGTGTGCTGAGCATCATACAAAGAAAATTGCTCTGGTATTATTATAATTAACAATTCGTGCTATTGTATCCTTCTCTGAAATGATAATCCAATTCTTTGCCTTTCTACAAGCCTCATCTTTCTACTACGAATGCACCCACACCTGCACGAAAATCAGTAGTACCACAAGTCCCTACAAGACCACCACCACCATCTCCAAACGAACCTCCAAATGTGCAAGCTCCACATGTAGCAGCAGCTAGTAATAATACACGCCAAATAAATAGTCATTCCGATAATCAGAATGTGACGCAACCTCAAACTATTGGCAGTCGTATTACATCTCTTATGAGCTACACACCAAGTTTCAGATCGAAAGAGCGGCCACCTTTTGCAACGAGACGTTCATCGACAGGCGGAAGCACCGCTTTAGACGCAAAATTGAAAAAACTTTTAAGCAATGCTGAAGTGCACTGTTTAAATTTTCGGGAACGCCTTGAGGTTAATTTCGACAATCTCAGTAATTGTATACTATACTTAAATGTTGTCTATAAAGTATATCTATTATAATATATAGAGATGCCCGTTAAGTGGAGGAGCACTAAACATTGTTGATGATATCGTGTTGCTCTTAAATGCTACTTCAGCAGCTACGATTGACGTTCTTAGCGATTGTGCCAAACTTTTACAACAACGAGTTGCTGAAGTAAGTAAAGTAAATTAATTTAAGTTACTTTCACTGAATAGCCAAACTCTAATATTTAAGTTATGATTGCTTAATATTACTCTAAAATTAGCAACAACATATGGCTGGTCTGCCCGCCGGTAATACCATTAAATGGTATACTCCACAACGTAATCCATCTGACAATCAGAAGGATGCTAAGGCTGCAAACATTTCGATCAAAACGTCTGCGGTCAATCCACAAGCTAAAAAGGAATTATTCTCTGATGAAATGAAGGTGTCTTCAGAAACTAAAGAATCCTCAATACACACCATTCCAGCCGACCAAAATACTGCTAATAATATAAATGTATCAAATACTACTAAATCAGTATTGAATAATGCAGAAAATCCGAGGACAAGAAAAGATTCAAGTCAAATATCCGAAGAATCAGATAATGAAGTATTATTTGAAATGGCAAATGAGTCACAGGAAAACCAAGGAGTCATTGCTGCCTCAGGTAGAGTAAATTACTAAATGTTGATTAATACTATAGTAATGTCAGTGTAGATGTGCGTGGAGTGCATAAAAAAGTCATTACACTATCTGTGTACTATTTTATTTAGATAAAAGCAGTAACATTCAATTTGGAGCTGTTATCGACCTGCAGTCACAACAGGGATCACAACTAATATCGAATACAGATATCGATGAGACACTGGATCTAGGTCAGTGACAACTAAATAGACACGTAATCGTTTTGCTTAAAGACTGATAAAATATATTATGATTATTATTTCATTCAATGTTATCATATTTTTCTTAATAAATTTTAGATGATATTTATGGTGACGATGCGGACGAAAGTAGTGATACTGGTGAAGAGCATAAAAGCGTAATAATGCATTTACTAGGACAACTTAAGCTTGGAATGGATTTGACAAAGGTTAAGCAAGAGTACTTATACCTAATTTATCTCCTATAGTTATTAATGAGATGCTGTAATTGTTATCACTGGACTAAGTGTGTAGATATACCTAATTGTAACTACATTTACTGTTTTTACTTAAAAATTTTGATATTTCTCGGTACTTTCAGGTTACTTTGCCAACATTTATTCTAGAAAGGAGATCATTACTGGAAATGTATGCCGATTTCTTTGCCCATCCTGATCTTTTTCTTCGCATTGTGGATGGATTAACGCCGAAGGAAAGAATGCTTTACGTAATAGAATGGTACTTGACGTCATTTCACTCAGGAAGAAAGGGATCAGTAGCGAAAAAGCCTTACAATCCTATAATTGGGGAAACTTTTCACTGCTCTTGGAACTTAAACAACGTACAAAACGATCTAGGAGGACCACCGCAAACCGGTGATTTGTCCTTCGTGGCTGAACAAGTTTCCCATCATCCTCCCGGTAAGAAGAAAAATCATTTGATATCATACCAGAAAATTTCGAATCAGTATCTTCTAGTATGACAGCTGCTACTGTTTAATTTTCCGTATTTTACGCCTGTATTAAGTATCCGGATTTTATGCCGAATGTGAGAGTAAGCGTATGTGCCTCAATGCACACATTTGGACTAAATCCAAGTTTCAAGGGATATCAATAGGGGTTGCGAATGTAGGTGAAGCTGTACTTAGTCTCATAGATTTTGGAGAAGATTACGTTTTTACATTACCGAGCGCATATTGCAGGTGAAGTTGCTGTAGTTGATTAGCAGTCAAGTAATACATTTTGGATAACTATGTGTCAATACTATAACTAATTATACCTGTATGTTCTTCGTAGATCAATTTTAACGGTGCCTTGGGTTGAACTCGGTGGCAAAGTAACAGTGGAATGTGCTGCAACTAATTATTCAGCTGCACTTACGTTTCATACAAAGGTAGTGCGGCATTATTACTGTAATTAATTTTTAAATTGCAATCTCATAGTTTCGCTTTATTTCCATATGTAGCCGTTCTATGGAGGAAAGATAAATCGAATATCAGGAGATATTAAGTGAGTAAGATTGAGCCATAGACAGTGAATTAACATTGGTATTGAATAAAATAACATTATAGAACTGATTTGTGATACAGGCATCCTTCAGGACAGATTATGTATCGGATCAATGGAGAATGGAATGGCACCATGGAAATCACTGATACGGCTGAAGTATGATTGAGACTGTATTTGTTAAGAGATTTAGGGATTAAGCTCTTCAAAACTGTATGAATAAAGCAATAAATTTCGACGATGCTAACAAATCACCCAATTTTATATTATAGGTCAATAAAGTGATAAATACTAAAGCATTACCTGTAGTTAGTAAAATTGTTCAGCCACTGCGATCTCAAGGAGAATTTGAGTCCCGACGTTTATGGAGACATGTTACCAAGGCTCTAAAAAATAAAGATGTAGACAGTGCAACGAAATATAAGAGGACTGTTAGTCATGCTATACAATTTTATGTTAACCAAACGACTTTTTTTAACTTCAATTGTCTATAAGCGTAAACTTCTCTTACTAGCAATCGTTTTATTTTTAACGTGTAAATTTTTAAACAGCTCGAGGATCGTCAGCGAAGTGAGGCTCGGCAGCGAAAAGAGGAAAATAAAGAATGGGAAACAAAGGTAGCGAATACTACTATATGCCTCTTTGGTCGTTTTGAGTCGATTTCGATAACAGTACAAATAAATTATTTTGATAGTGAAATAATTATAATACTTGTTGACTTTAGTATTTCCAAAAGCGTGGGGATGGATGGCTATATAGCAATAATCTAAAATCCCGCGAGGAAAACCTTATTTGAAAAGTCAACACGTCATCATATTTACATTTTTCCGAAAGATATTTACTGTAACGATGATATGGAAATTTTTTATTGCGTCAAGCTTGTAAAATAGTAATTGCCTTATGTAATGGCACTGGGCAACTGCAATAAAGCAATTGCCCTGGCTATGAGTAAAAGTGTCGACTTGATGTACAGTACGAAATATGAAGTGAATGATGGTTTATTCATTTAATTTCTAAAATTAACCGGTCTACATTGAAAGTATTCAACTCTAGTATAGATACCTTTCGTAATAATAGATTAAAGCCCTATTTTTAGGCTAAACCATTTGGTGAAGACGATCTCAGAATAACTAAAGATCATTCTTACAAAGCGTCTGGTTTTATGTCCTACTTTTTGGTGATGAATAGGAAAATAGTCATTGTTAGAATTTATGGTCCATATTAATCGATATGATTACATAATATTTCCTGTTTTCTGGTCTTTATACAGTATTTTATCAGCGCAATATTCAAAGTTTTTGAATTAATATTAGACATAGAATTTAATCTTTCTACAACAATTTTATAGTATAATGTAAGTTCAAATTGTTGAAGCTAATTTTTAGAATGAAACGATTTTCGCTACAATCAACTTATTTGGAGAAAAGTTGTTGCTGTATAGCGTTACACCGACATTTACTGTTCATAAATGCAAAGAGTATTCGTGACTGAACTCTGCCACTATCCATAATCGAAGTTTTTCTCATTGACTGATGTAAGAAATAAAATGATTAGTTTCCTTCCATAGCTGTTGCAGTAATTATTGTGGGCACTAGGCGTAATAATACTCATGATATGACAGTACTAATCAATCAACTTACAATTGCCGTACGCATTTTACTAGTAAAGTGAAGGTTTATGGAAACTATCATCGTATAGTTTGTACCTTTAGAATTATCTGAGCTACTTATGATGATTATACTAAATTTGCATATTATATCTAGATCAATGCAAGGTAGAGAAGTTGAAAATGTAAAGTTTTGAATTCTAGTTGAATACCGCGTTATGCTGTATTCTCTTGAGGTTAGCATTCATGTAGGCAATTTGCAGGTCGTCAATTCGATAACAAAATTATAAGCATATAATCATATGTAGAACTCCTATAACATTCTACACGTATGGCCAATTTTTAATATGCCTGCATTTATTCTCGGCTGCGCATGTTGTATTTTCACTCTAAGAGTATGCTATTATTGCACAAGGCATATTTTTACTGTTATTACAAAAAATTCCAATAATTATATATATAATATTGGGTATCGATAACCGTCTGTTAATACACTATTTGATGGACCGTCGACAGCATGAAATTACCGCATAACCGCTCTACAGTATGTAGTGATAGTCATTGGCAGCGACTGCAACGCTATGAAAGATATACAGTATGTCTAAAATTGACTTTACTTAGAATGTATTGATGAATTTATGATAGTAACAAATAATTTCAGAATGATTAAAAGCACGTATAGCATAGCCAATACACTATAGAATAGGTACAACAGTACTGTCTATCTTGGGTATATTCTTTGGATAATGTGTATTGAAGTTAGGCATTTACGTCGATTTTACTTGCTTAGCACGATTGGATCTCCGAATTATCAAATAACTAAAATAGATCACAATGATGGAGTTGCAAGCTATTACTACAAATAAAACTCCTAAAGTAGATGAAAATGTCGGTTTAATAAGACGAATAACATGTTGTCGCTGTTGGATATCGTTTAAAATTCCATCCAATTGATAACGATGTCCAACACATACAAAAATATGAAACCAATGATGGCTCTGACCACATATATCAAAGGAAGTAGGCCAAACGCATTCTGGAAATTTACTTGTCATGAAGATAGCGACCAATATAGCCATTACAAATTGCATGGTATGATAGTAATCGGATGTTAAACGACATTGATGATGATGACATGAAAAAATCCTATAAGCCAGCATTGAGTTGACGTATACCCATTGCAATGCGAAAGCCAGTGTTCGGTATATGTAAGGTCGTGAAGTATGGGCATATAATCGAGAAATACACGATGTTAAACAACAACAAATAGCCATCATACTGGAAAGAGTAATATACCAATCCATGGTGAAAAAGGTGACTGGACGAAGATAATAGAAATAAGCAATAGCACATGTAAATGAATACAAGCTAATGCTGGCATAATCGAGAAAGAAACAAATATGTCGTGCACTTTCCGACATACAGTTCAAGGCATGGGCAATACAACTAAAGAGTGGATAGCTACTACCCACGATATAGCATAGTAAAGGCCAGTAGAAAGGATCCTCTACAAGCTGATATTGCTGATCGATAGTATAGAAACGTATTAGAAAGTAGAGAAAAGGGATCATATGAGTCCAAAAATTCACTGTCTCGTTATTCATCTGCAACATGCTCTTGATGCATTGTATGACTGTCAAGCCAGGTTTCCTGTATCCTCGGATAATGTGGTCATCACGAAAGATGGCTGGAATCTGATCAGCATCTAATAATTGATTTTGGGCAGCCATTTTACTCCTTAATCGCCTTGATTGGATTGATTACTGAAGTAGTTGGTACGAGCAACTTGCAGTTGTGATTCATAAGGGTTGAAGTTGTGTCGAGTCAACTTGCAGTCAGTTGTGATTCACAAGGGTTGAAGTTGTGTCGAGTCAGCTTGCACTTGTGATTGATAAGGTTGAAGTTGTGTCGAGTCGACTTGCAGTCAGTTGTGATTCACAAGGGTTGAAGTTGTGTCGAGTCAGCTTGCACTTGTGATTCACAAGGGTTGAAGTTGTGTCGAGTCAACTTGCAGTTGTGATTCACAAGGGTTGAAGTTGTGTCGAGTCAACTTGCAGTTGTGATTCACAAGGGTTGAAGTTGTGTCGAGTCAACTTGTAGTTGTGATTCACAAGGGTTGAAGTTGTGTCGAGTCAACTTGTAGTTGTGATTCACAAGGGTTGAAGTTGTGTCGAGTCAACTTGTAGTTGTGATTCACAAGGGTTGAAGTTGTGTCGAGTCGACTTGTAGTTGTGATTCACAAGGGTTGAAGTTGTGTCGAGTCGACTTGTAGTTGTGATTCACAAGGGTTGAAGTTGTGTCGAGTCAACTTGCAGTCAGTTGTGATTCACAAGGGTTGAAGTTGTGTCGAGTCAACTTGCAGTTGTGATTCGCAAGGGTTGAAGTTGTGTCGAGTCAACTCGCAGTCAGTTGTGATTCAGAAGGGTTGAAGTTGTATAGAGTCATCTTGCAGTTGTGATTCACAAGGGTTGAAGTTGTGTCGAGTCAATTTACAGCTGTGATTCACAAGGGTTGAAGTTGTGTTGAGTCATACGACTTTGACGGTCACCACGGAACGTAGGTGGTGCAGTGAAGGCAGAGATGACGACACCGCTTGTACTGTACTGTATGATACAACCGGTATGGTGGCGGTGAAATTCTAGCTGGACAGTGTCAGTCAGTAATAGTACACTTCAGATTGCTATTGCGTCTTTGCGCTAATTCAATAATACAGAAAGTTACTACGCTACAATTTGTTATTGTCACGCTACAGAATCATACTTGTGATTGAATATTTATAGTATTCTACAAATGCTGGTTGAGAGTAGTAAGAGCCTTGAATACGGTTGTTAGTATGAACTCTAGTGTACTGTTGATAGCAATTCACAACACGGTACCCTTTTTAACATGAACCCTCAAAGTGGACCACTTGATATAAAACGTTCTTTTACTGCAACGAAAACTATCTAAAGTCAAGAACTGGTCCATAGTGTAGTACAGTGTACTGTACAGTACATTGTACAGTATCTGACTACAGTACATTCACTGTACAGTACAGTACAGTACTGTACACTGGACACTGGACAGTACCAGTAAACTGTGATGTACAGTACAGTGGACTACTGCAGTACTGTACTGTACAGTACAGTATCTGACTACTTCATACAGTACTGTACTGTACAGTGTACAGTACCGTTCAGTGTACAGTACATTCACTGTACAGTACTGGACGCTGGACGCTGGACAGTTTCAAAATTTCGGACTCTACCTGAAACTAGCAAAAGTGAAGTGACGAGCGATCACAGACGAAGATCGACAGCGCATTCAGCGATCATTAGTCAATGGATGATCTTGAAACCAATTTCTGGATTCCATTGAGATTATAAGGTATATATCATACAGCTATCGATGAAAGATGGATGATTCTTAATAGCTAAAATTGACTTGGATGAGTCAAATGATGGCTTGTAATATACTGTACTCTAGTTCGTCGATCAACTGCTATTAGCGATCGATTTGATGGCCAAGCCCACTGTATCTACTGTATTGGCAACTTTTAGTTTTGATGATTACTTTTAGGTACTAGACTGTTCAAGTTGCAAACGAAGATACGTATTGCAAGAATATTTCAAGTTGTCATCAATTTCATCTTCTACAAGATATATTGGCTCCCCCATTATAGAATTGATATCCATGTTTGGTTGTGTTGTTACTGGCAGATTGGTATGTTGAATAAATTGTAGGTAGTAAATTATTCTGGAATATTCTAGGCCAATGAGTAGACAACGACACTCTTTTTAATGGCATACTGTGCTTGCAGGCCACTATGGCTCAATTTGTCTATAATGTCTAAAAATGGAACAAAATAGGTTAAGCTAATAATACAGACCTCTTAGTACGGATCTTGTACAGTTTGGGGTGATACAATCGAAAATATTCTAATCCTAAATCTTGGCTCTACTCCTTCCTTTACTCAACTGTATTGATCATTGTACAGTTCTGGACGCAAGACTGTCCAATAGAATAATTTTTCAGTCCTCTACTCAGCACGCCACATAGAGGCTTTGCAAGGATGTACTTAGAATTGCCTGGTACTGACTGATTAAGAAGAACACAATCAATTCACATCATCAGACTGCAGCAGCTGGTGATTTCGTTTAGACCAGTGTCAACTAGTTTACCAATAATTAGAATTGTATAATACACAAAGTTGAAAAGTCATGCTTAGACAATTCCCTATCATGCCATATTATACTGTCATTAATCCTTCCAAGTTGAAACATTGAAAGGTCGACGGGGCAAGTAATACGCCATGATATGAAATCGAATAAAAGGATATTTATCATGAAATATCATATGCCCTCAGCTTGATCCATTGATTGCTATACTGTACTCTACGATCCTATTTTGACCAATTGAGCGCTACAATAAGTGCTCACTTTACTAGCCTAATATGTATCAAACTTTTGCAACATATCTAGCTAATGTAGTACTGTACATTATAAAGATACAGTAGACTGGGAAAGCGTATTATTGCACTCTTAAAATTATTGCTTCTTTTCTGCGTCCAGATTCAGAGTGAACCCCGTCAAGTTAGCCAGACACATTTCGTTTTCGATATACCCAATGCAGATAATGTGAATCATGTAGTCATATTTTTATTGGGGACGATTCCATTGCCTGATGGCTTTGGCGCTTCCATATTCTTTTGTTGGCCATCACCTAATTCTGAGCCCGTATGGCAATTACTTGGCTACATCTCAAATCAGAAACCTAGTGCAATATTCCGAATTGCTAAAGCCAAAGATAATTCTCTTTCTAACCAGACTAATACATTTTCAGTACCTAATCAATTTATCAATAACAACATTGCTCAAATTGGATTGTCAATAGAGCGGTTGGATGAGTTAATGCAACAAACCCCTGTCAGTGGTGCTATGCCTTCCAATTTGGATTCTTTTGCTCAGTTCACCAATAAAATGTTGGAAAACTTTTGTAATTACGCTACCTCTTTTGCTGTTACACAAGCACAAATGATGCCTGGCTCTAACCATGCATATGTTCCTGTGGAAGTAGTACAAAGGTGGTTTGAAAATTTTCAAAAACGAATGGCCGCTAATCCAAATTTTTGGAAATCTTAACATAAAAGAAAAATTGATAATGATAGAGCCCAAGTCAAGATACAACAACAGCCGCCGAACCTGATCTATTATCAAAGTGAACAGCTACTAGCAATTTTTATAACTATTTTCAACTTGTCGTAGCATCGTCAAAAACTGCTAAAAATTTGTACATACTTATTTTACATACTCAACAATAAACAACTTGGAACACAAATCGGTTTAATGAAATCACTTCATATTAGTGACATTATAACGCAATAAAACATTTTGATGTACTTGTAATTGTACTAGCGAGTCAACTTTCAAATAAAATACCTCTCAGTTTTATATCCTTGCTATTTCGCTGTATAACATTAATCCAGTATCTTAGCTCTTTGTAAATGTGCGTATACTTAAACCCACTTAGCTTTTATTATTTTCAGTTAGCTTACAAAAATGTTGTAGCTTTACTATCACTAATTTAATTTTATGCTACTGCATTGATAAAGTCACTATTTTCGAACGGTCGTGTTATACGTACTTATCAGTTAACATGCTCTCCTAAAATTGATCATTTTAAATACAGTCTAATTTCAATAATGATCACCATCAGTCATAGAAGCTACTTTCTTCTTAACTATCAATAAAGTGATTTTATCTATTTAAGCAATCTATGTTCCTTACTTCAGTAAGATATTAAGTACTGTTTGAAATTTGAAAATGCTTGATATACCATATAGCTAATGGTATCAGACGACGAATGTCTTATTGGGTTTACCCTGCTATTAATGTATAATTTCGACAACACAACTACAACATTCGTATGATTTATACCGTACCATGAGCTTTATGCTACACGTAAACTTCTATTAAATGATATAAAGTAATTTCGATCTTGATGCTTCATGCAGATACTTGGGGAGCATGGTAATACCGTAACCATGGGATTAATTCTCTTATGATATGTGCTTTTACATTATATAGTACTTTGATCGCATAATAAAATCAATAATGGACTATCCATTAATTATTAACAGATCAGGTTTACAAAGCGACAAACTTGAATAGTGATAACATACTTGTAGGAACAAACTCCTTATTCACATCCCCAGTAATTGGATAAATTTATTTTGTGTGAATTCTTAATCTACAGCGAATTCTGGCCATTGCAGCAATGTACTACAAGAACAACAGCTCTTAGTAATTCTTGATCTTTACTATCCGATCAACAATGAATATATAATACGATATTGTAGTGCAGTGCGATATTGCCGATGAGTAATATAAAGGAGAAATAACACGCAACCTTTATTTGCAATAATTGAGTTAGAGCGTGCTACTGTGAAATTAAGAAATAATCTTTTAAAGAGAAAAATTCATGAATTCCTTCGCATCAATAAAACACATCTTCCTTTGAGCTTACTTTAACAGCAATCAAAAGCAAGTTAAAATTTTCACAAGAACTAAGAAACACCTTTAAAAAGCATGTTATCCCTATTATACCACACCAGTAAATGTACAATACCTTTTACAGGATTATTATAACTGAAAATACAAATTACAGGTCATGTCATAATAATATTATTATGTTGATCTAGTCATTCCAATAAAATCATGAATTTAAGATAGTTTGTAATTTGGATTTCATCTCACTGGGTGAAAATACTCCTACTTCCGTAATAATTCCAGTAATTAGTTCGGCTGGAGTTACGTCAAATGCTGGATTATACACATTTATACCAGATGGAGCGATTGGTATACCTTGAATTTCTGTTACTTCTTTATGAGAACGCTCTTCGATGACAATATCTTTGGAGTCATCTAAAACAATTGTTGTCGTTGGAGCAGCAATATAAAAAGGAATTTTATGATACTTCGCTGTGATAGCAAGCTGATAAGTTCCAATTTTATTAGCAGTATCACCATTTCCAAGTACCCGATCGGCTCCAACAACGACGGCTGAGATATCCTTCTTCTTCATAACTAGTGATGCCATGGAATCTGTTATAAGTGTTGCTGGTATACCGTCATGTACCAATTCAAAGGCTGTCAATCTAGAGCCTTGATTATAAGGTCTAGTTTCAGTGCAAAATACTCTGTCAATTGAATCCCGACCATATAGAGATCGTATTACGCCTAAAGCAGTGCCGTAGCCAGCAGTTGCGAGAGAACCTGTGTTACAATGAGTTAATACGTTTATCTTTTCCTTGCTAGGTACTTTCGCCAGGATTGCTTCAGCTCCATAGCTACCAATTCTCTTATTACTCTAAATATGTAGACATGGCATAAATGATCGATTCATTAGAGTGTATTTGTTCAAAATAGGCAATCTATAAATTGCTAAGGAATATCGACTAGCAAGAGCTTAGGATGCACCGTAGGCAATTAATTGCTACAAGAACAACTTTATATATATAAGAATCTTGCAAAAGCCAAAGGATAGTCATATACCTCAACATCTTTATGAAGCATCTCCTCGATGTGCCTTATAACTTCTATTTTAGCTACACCAACAGCTTCATCGCCCAAGATGATCAAATTGTCAATTAATTTGGTGATAAGATCGCAAGCCAGAAAAATATTTACCGCAGTAGGGCGCGCAGTCTTCAGATGCTCTAAGCTATCTCGTATAAATTTATCAAATTCATTCATTTCAGTAAATGATTTCGATCTCAACTCTACTGCCAGGCTTAACATTCCAACAATAGCAATGGCAGGTGCACCTCGTACCTTGAAAGAGTATCAGATAGATAATTCACATCATAACGTTGCTGATCTCATACATGTACGCAGATGGTGTAAATCTATCTTTAAATCTAGTAAAAGTGATCAAAGACTTTTTGATTAAGAATTGGCATAAATGGAGCCTATGCAAAGAAAATGGCATCCAGACTTTAGAGAATGTTTTAGTTAAAATATCAGCTATAAATTTTTTATGGTATGACAGTGAGCTATTCCAAAAAGTAATGTAGAATCAGGTCTAATGTAGATTGAATTTACCACTCTTCCTATCATAAGATTAATACCCGAATGTATACAGTACGTACTATCTAAATCGACAGACTAGCAGAACGTCTAGAATTCGGACTACCTATTACCGAATAAGATACTTCATATAATTTGAATTCATAATCTAATTTATTATGCATAATACATGAAACAAATTCGATTAGCAAGCAATTCAGTGCATCAAGAATTTACACAATTTTAATAATTTACTGGATGAAATGAAGATGAGACTTTTCATAACAATACCTAAAAATGCGATCTGATGATACATATATTTAAGAAGTGTATCAATGTATGTTACACAGGAAGTTATAACACGAAAGCGTTTACTCTAAAAGCATTGCACTTTACTTTATGAAAGTACATTACAGTACTAGGGAGTGCGCTATGGCACAATATCTACCGTAGTGATAAAAAAAATGAATGCTAATCTAGTGAATTCGTTAGAACATGAAGTAGAGCAGAATCAATTAAGACCGCTGACAAAACTTTATAACCTGTTTTTCAGTGCAGTTGCTAATTAGAAATTACTCGTGTACAAGCTTCCTACATAATATAGAAAAATGTGTATGTTGCAATAATGATATTATGCCAGGTATTGAAACTACCCAAACGTGTAATCTACTCTTTGTATTTTCTGATGCCTGTATAATTTTATATCCTGAAGGTAAGCCAAAAACTTAAATCTCAGCGTTCAGTAAAGGAGATGAAAATCACGTCATTAAATAAACTACTTTTTAATTATTTACTAAATCGGCCAATGATAATCTTGAACTGATTCAAAAAGGCATAAAGGAGTTTACCATCTCTCACAATGATATTATACATATTTAATCATTTTCAATGGGTCGTCATGAAATCAGGAAAAACTGACTTCATGTTCGGTATGATATAATTCGATTATTTAAATGATAGTTGATTTACTGTACACTAAAGTACGAGAAAAATTTATTTACAGGCAGAAGAAAGAAAATTCCAATTTTCGTCCAACTTAATATTGTAAATACTATAATTTCTTTGTTTAGATTACAGGCCTATTCTAGAGATGAGTACGACATACAAGTATACCATAGTAGGCTAGATGATAATAGTAGCCAAGTAAAAATTAATGAACAGTACAATGACAGAAAAGATTTTTATTAAATCTTCTCTATTATTCTCATTTTCGTAAGAATCAGCAAAAATCTTTATCAGAGTCTGCATGGATATTCATCCATTATTTCTAAAAGTGTTCATGTTATCGATGAGCTATCAAACTAAGATGATCATCTAAATCGACAGACGAGTATGCTTGCAGTAGATAATGAAATTAATCCGTCATTTAGAAATTTACTGATTTCATCCAAAACATGATCTAATTTTGTCAACAGTAACTCAACTGGATTGAGGTGCTTTGATTTAACGATTAATTTAAATTACAATATTATCTTGAAAGATCAAACTGTATCCCATAACGACACTTGAAGCTATAACTTGTTAACGATTAGAAAGTGATACGACAGTGGCTGTTAGAAAGCTGACTGCAATCAATGTGATCATTGATTTCATGGTTGATTTGCTTGTCCAACAAATCGTATACCAGCATTGCATACAGTACAGAAAGAGTAGTCGTATTTTATCAGTTTTGGCTTTTTTGTCCTATTAAGTACAGTAGGTAAAATCGGACAATCGATCATTGAACGTGTCCAATATAAAAGCTGTTACAAATTAAATCAGTTCCAATGATAGGCATCATCAAGTACAGCAGTTAAAATGACAATGATCATAACCACTACACTTCTTCTTTCGCTTATTAGAATATTGATGTATGATTAATTCAAGAAATTAACCTTTCTACAAGCTGACTGATTTGCCAATCTTGTTGACAGTATCAATAAGTCTTGTCAATAAAATCAATTGATGATCACCTTTGTTCGTAGAAATGAGTGAAAACCCCGATTAATATGGGTGGTGTTGTTATGAAACAAATGCTGCTATTGCAGCCAAGTAAATCACTGATAGCAAAATTACTCTATTTGTCTATTATCCATTCCCTTCATTTCGTATCCATAGACAAAAATCCACGATCACTCATGTAGCTTACCTTCATCTGGCGAATTGCTTGCCAGCCATCTTCAATTCCTTCAACATTTTCATACACATATTCTGATGGCAATAACAGCTGATTTAATATTTTCAACTGACCATGATCGTGATCGTAGCGGATAGCTTCAAGCGATTGTTGCTCAGTCATGCCTTTGCAATGGTTCAATATTAATTTAGCCTAATTGATTTTGTGCAATAATGAATTAATAGCTGGTTAGCAACCCCTTGAATCATCAACAACGAAGTCAAAGCGGATCAGTTTCTACTTCGATTTGATCTGCAGGTGCAAATTGATATTAGCAATTCCTCCTGGTTATCCTGACTCGAAAGCACTCAAGAGGTAAAGTACGCTAACATACCATAGTAGATAAGTTAATTGACTGACTAGAATTGGACTAGCTTCGTTTCGTATTGTGCTTATTCAAGCCATAGCTATGGAAGGAAATCGATGATGGTCGTCAATCTTTATAGTCTTGTAGCGAGGTTTGCGACACTAGACCTGACAGGTAGATCGAGTTGAGAGAGGATTGGCATTTTACAGGATTTCTATAGCACACGTTGGAGAACATGGGTACATCACTAGGATACAGTATAACGGCTAGCGCAGTCAGTATACTTTACTAGCGTATATTGGACCATCGACTACTAGATAGCAGAATAGGACAAGAGTGCAGGCAAAAATAGACTTTTAGAAATATGCCCAGTAGTGCAACTGGATTATGCATATTTCTAGAAGTCTCTAGTAGAGTTTTAGAGTATAGAAGTGTTCTGCATCGTACTGAGAAGTCGCTCCGAACTTCGGCTAGCTATAATCCTAGCACGGTACCAATACGACTCTGATTGATAATTTAGGATGGATTGCAAACACGATTCGACTTTGAAACTTCGGTGGCCTACAACTTGCAGTATATCACTGCTTTTATTCTAAAACATCGATTTCATATTTATACATTTGACTTTTAGTGGTAGCAAAACATGCAATCTTGTCGCAGTTATAACAATATTTAATTATACAGTAGAGGAAAGTGCATCAACATAGTATTTACGAATATTCTATATGTTCAATATTCAATGCAGTCGTATCATGGAGATCATGTTTAAAGTGATATAAATTATAATTTATATGAGCAATCGGCATATGTCGTTGATAAACTGGCTACGCATTAATCATTCGATTGTTAAAGTAAATGTATTCCAGAGGGAGAGATATACAGTTATTATTAGGATGATACCGTGAAGGCGGCTATAACTTGTATAAATTGGCCATTAATAATTAATTATCATAATTGTAGTTTGCTCTTAGTTACTGTACACGTATAGACGCGTATTATGTGCTGGTATTAAATATTATATATTGATTATTTCTATTTATTACGATGCTCCTCCACAGGTAGCATTGATAGAAATAGACCTATCGAATAATATCGGATAGTCTACTGGATCTAGGATGGCAAAGTACTGTATTGCGTATGCTGTGCTGTCAATTCTAGTAATCCACGATCAATTCATCTTAGTCCATTGCTAAATTACTTTTCGATGAATTAATTTATAGTACTTTAGAGAAAATTTAAATGTACGGTACGTAAGGTAAATTTATACGTGTATAAATAAACTTAAAGTTTGCCATTTATACACAGTTATAGTTCTTGCTTAGGGAGTTGTTGGCCACGTGATAGTATTCCTTATTAATTAATTATATTATACATATATATTACGGGTATATACTGTGTTATATACTGTATTATTATTCTAATTTTGACACAACAAAATTAATGCATAATTTAATAGTACATCATCAAGTCCCTTCATCGTAAATACGTTGATTATTCTATTTTTACACTTCAATAAATTAGAATAAAGTCTTGAAAGATGTCGGTTGACGAATTGAAAAAGGTAGCTATACAAGCTATCGATGAGAGAGATGGCCAATTATTCGATATAAACCAACAACTTCATAAAAATCCGGAGTTACTATTCGAGGAGCACAAAGCACATGATTTGTTAACAAATTATCTAGAAAAAGAAGGTTTTCAAGTTGATCGCGGCCACGTTATACCAACTGCATTTCGTGCTACATTTGCTCGTGGGAAAGGACCCAAAATGTGTATTATTTGTGAATATGATGCCTTACCTGAAATAGGACATGCATGTGGTCATAATTTGATTGCTGAAGCAGGAATAGGAGCTGCAGTGGGTATTAAAGCCGCGATAGAATCGAGCCAAAACGATTTAGGACAAGTGGTGGTTTACGGAACACCAGCTGAAGAGGGCGGTGGAGGCAAGATTACTATGATAAAAGAAGGCTGTTTCGATGATATTGATGTTGCTATGATGGTACATCCATGCACATATGAAGCTGGTTTTGCTAATGTGCTTGCACATATGAGCCTAACGATTACATACGAAGGACAAAATGCTCATGCATCGGCTTATCCGTGGGAAGGTATCAATGCATTGGATGCAGCTGTACAGGCTTACGTCAATATTTCGACAATGCGTCAACAGTTCAAACCATCATGGCGTATTCATGGGATTATTGCCGATGGAGGTGTCAAACCTAATATCATTCCCTCTAAGACAGTACTAGAATATGGCATAAGAGCGCCTACTGATGCTGAAATACAAGAATTAAGACGTAAATGTGAACATTGCTTTCAGAGTGCCGCCGAAGCTACTGGGTGTAGTGTCCAGATTGTTTTCAACGATATCTGTGGCGATTATTATGCCCCACTATTAAATAATCTACAACTTGTTGAAATGTACGAAAGAAATGCTGAAAGTTTTGGCATGAAATTTCCAACCCTAAGTGACCAAAAAACTCTTCCGGCTGCATCAACCGATATGGGTAACATTTCACGAGTTGTAGCTTCTATTCAGCCTTATTATACTATTGGCAGTAGTGGAGTAAATCACACAATCGAATTTGCTGAAGCATCCGCTAGTGAATTCGGTCATCGACAGACTATAATTGCAGCAAAATCCATGGCTATGACTTGCCTTGAAGTTATGACTAACCCAGAGCTATTAGTAAATATAAAATCGGAATTTCATTCCAATTCTAAGAGTTAATTGTCGTATCTATTGCCCATTACAATTGTTATGTTATTAGATCATAAATAAAATCATCGATAACCTATCAGCAGTGAATGCCTGTAGTTAATAAGGATTAAATAATTTTTCTATCATATGAGTAGGTTCTACCATTCAATCGGTAGAAAGTAACATTCGATTGTTTTATCAAAGACACTATTTCTGATGACAACGATATGAGCGTAAAGGAAAAACAATATCAATATAATTTTCTCATGTTGATAACGAGCATACGTAGTATCTTATCAATTAAAATTTTGTACGTTTTACTTCTTTTAGCAATGGCAAAACTATTAAAGCCTACGCCAATAGATTGACTCTATATTATCTCGAAATTAATTTCTCTGTTTTTGTCAGTCATTGCTTATGATGTAGATATAATTAAAAATAAAATAGTAGAATAATTACGTGCTAAGAAATTTCGTTAAATCTAGAATTATTATTTGTTGATAAAGCCATTTTACCTACATTCTCTTGCATTATTTCATAGTAAAAGCTTTTTATCGCTTCAATGCAACGAATAAAATATCAAGAGATAGTGCCAAGAGTTATCGTCAACAAATGTGAACAATAGCTCGCAATAAGTTCGTACAAGTTAACTACAAGTTTTAAAAGTTCATAACACTGATAATAGTGCAATATGGAGTATTTTATATACTTGTACGAATATTCATTTTTAACCATTGTATAATATTATTATCAACTCATCATGCGCGCAAATATTGCAGATAATATAATTAGGCCTGACCTAAAGGCTATAAAATCTACTTCGAGAATAAACTGGAGATGTAGTGTTGCTAGCAATCGATATTACCACCCACAGAAAAAGAAAGCCTATCGCTTGCATTGTCTTAATTGTTTATCACGATAGTACTCGTTTTTCACCGAGTATATCTTGTTCTTCGACAATTTGTAACAGTTCTAAAAATAAATACTTGGCTAGTAAGCTGCATTAGTTAATTCGGATATTTTATATATATACTGAATTATCCATCAGTGCTTCTAGCTCCCATTTGAGATTCCTGCTGGGAATTATCATCGTATTGTTGAAGCTAGCCATACTACCATATCCCGACCGAAAATAATAAAATTAAATTTTGTGCCTTTTTATTCGAAATCAATTACATAACTTTAAATGCAGTTTTCCTAGATATTTTTAGTTACATGTACCGTCGCTGGTACGCATCGAACATGGTATTTGACATAGCCGAAGCTAGAGTTTATCCAACACTCTAATATCGATAATTCGGTATCTAATACAGCAATCATTTGCCAGAAACTTGTAGGATTTGTTGTACTGTAGTTGTCAACGTAATATCGATCGTAGTGGCAAAGATTTAGATTCTAATAAGCACAACAGTATCGTAGAGTTGCCTAATGCTTACAGATACTAAAACAATAGCATAGTCAGTGATTAGCTACGATTTATAGATGGATTTCCCAAATAATAATCTTTCTTCCGAGCGTCCGTTGTGGGGACTCGTCACAATTAGAAATACATTCATCTTAACAAATACAGTGTTAATGATTAACGCTTTTACTAAATTCTTCTTTAATTTGTCTTAAAATATCAGCATTCGTTAAAGCATCAAGAGTTGTCATTGCCATTGATTTAGCTGCAATTAGAGTCTGCTGATGCGCTTGTTCGGTGCATGTAGCATTTGTGAATTCAGGAGTATGGTTAGCAGCTTCGGTATCAATTTTGTATAAAGGATGAATGGACGGAACCTCCCATGAGACATTTCCCATATCAGTTGAACCTGATGGCAGATTGGCTTCCTCATCTAGCGGCAAAAATTTAATCCCTAAACTGGTAGCATTCTTTTTGTACAAGTGGACAAGATGAACATTATTCTTCAATGCAGCATAACAGTCTTCAATATTTTCTACGTCGTACTCAATTTTCACTTTGCATCCTGTTGCTTGTGCGGCACTATGGAAGCAGTTCTCACATTTTCCCTTCAATAGTTTCAATTCAGTAGCGCTAGGAGCTCTAATATAGTATATTAGCTGTGATTTAGAAGGAATTATGTTAGATTTAACGCCTCCGTTACTGATAACCCCATGAACACGCCATGATGGCTTAAATTGTTGACGCAATGTCGATATATTGACGTAAGCCTGTACGGCTGCATCCAGTGCATTAACACCTTCCCACGGGTAGCCCGATGCATGAGCATTTTTCCCTTCGTATGTTACTGTCATTTCCATCAGTGATAGTATAGAAACAAATCCTGCATCAAAGGGACATGGATGCACCATCATAGCAACATCAATATCATCAAAGCAACCTTCTTTTATCATTTTAATCTTGCCTCCACCACCTTCTTCTGCCGGTGTGCCATAAACTACAATGTGTCCTAGATCGTTTTGGCTTGATTCCATGGCAGCTTTAATACCGATGGCAGCTGCAATTCCTGCTTCAGCAATCAAATTATGACCGCAAGCATGCCCAATCTCAGGCAAAGCATCATACTCACAAAGAACGCACATCTTGGGTCCTTTTTTACCACGTGAAAATACAGCGCGAAATGCTGTTGGCATAAAATAGCCTCGATCAACTTGGAAACCTTCTTTTTCTAAGAAATTTGTTAATACATCATGTGCTTTGAATTCTTCGAAGCATAGTTCGGGATTTTTATGAATTTGTTGGTTTACATCGAATAATTGACGATCTTTGTCGTCGATGGCTTGTATCGCAATTTTTTTTAACTCTTCAATCGACATTTCGACAATAAAATATCTTATAGATGCAAGTGCCTTGAATTACTGATTCTTAACCTGACTGGGAAATTAGAATAAGCGTACGTAGTTAGTATTCTATGTACCATTAGATATAAAGAACATAAAATTCAAATTTCGTCTTTACAGCTAGTGTAGAATAAATAACATGGGGTCAGAGATGATTTTGATCTGACAAAAATATGTTATTGCAACATTCTAATGATGTGGTATAAGGATGTCAAGGATATGTATCAAAGGATTACAAGTTGAAATGCATTGTGAGTCCAAATTACCTGCCTATGCACACCAGCTCACAATAAAGTCAGATGGCAGGATATGCACTTATTGAGGAGTTTTCGATTAGATTATTCAATTGACAGCACTGCTGGCACTCCCCTGGTTATAGATTTTGTGCCGTGGTGATTGTATATACTGTCAATGCTATAGTCGATGAAGTAGTGTAATAGAGAGAGCATCACGATCATTCTGTAAGATACTGTATAAAGTAAACAGTGTACGAGTATGATGATATCGGTGTGATTTAATATATGTACTTATCCCCCATCCTTATCATCTTAAAGTAAACCCTAGCATATTTTATTTATAAATTGAAGTCAATTAAAGCATGATGTTATGAACTGGGCATGACAGTCTTGTGATTTTCAATTTTTTTGTATTATTAAGCATTTATTTGGACACCCGTGGGTCTCTTATATGCATTTGTTATACATTGAACAGATTAATTAAATACAATTAATTAACATATCAATTATTTGCAGGTACAATATAGTTCCTATAGGCATATTACCCTAGGCTAGGAAGTAAACTTCTTAGTGTTTGCTTGAGAATTTATGAACTTTGAATGAATTGCATTGGGCATACTAACTCCGTAAGAAGTCTCACTATGACCATAATATAACTTTTGCCGTTGTTGACTACATTTCATTAAGTAAGTTGAAATAGTTCAAGATCATCTATTCTATGTATGTCTCTGCTATAAATCAAATTTTAAGCTTTAATCTATCAAGTAATCTCTCTATTTGTAGGATTGTTAACCTTTTTATTTAAAGGAAAAGTAAAAGCTTAAAGTTTCTATTGAAATTACTCTAACCTGCTTGAATGTATTTGTTCAAATTTAATGCTATAAAATTTTTTTTAGAGGATTGAAAATATTGCGTTAAATATGTCAGCTGAAGAACTGAAAAAAGTAGCTATACAAGCTATAGATGAAAAAAATCAACAACTATTGGAAATAAATCAACAGCTACACAAAAATCCTGAACTAGCATATAAGGAATTTAAATCACACGATTTATTAACAAACTATTTAGAAAAAGAAGGTTTCCAAGTTCAACGGAGTTACCCTCTACCTACTTCTTTTCGTGCTACGTTTTCACGTGGGAAGGGACCCAAGATGTGTGTTATTTGTGAATATGATGCCTTGCCCGAAATTGGGCATGCATGTGGTCACAATTTAATTGCCGAAGCAGGAATAGGAGCCGCAATCGGTATTAAAGCCGCTTTGGAAACGAGCCAAACCGATCTAGGTCAACTTATCGTTTACGGTACACCAGCAGAAGAAGGTGGTGGCGGTAAGATTAAAATGGTGGAAGAAGGTTGTTTCGATGATGTCGATATCGCTATGATGGTTCATCCATCTCCTTATGATGCTAGCTATGCCAGCATCTATTCAGCTATGTCTTTCAAGATAACTTTCGAAGGAAAGGCTGCACACGCAGCAGGTTCACCCTGGGAAGGGATTAACGCCCTTGATGCTGCTGTGCAAGCTTATGTTAATATCTCTACGTTGCGTCAACAATTTAAACCGACATGGCGAGTTCATGGCATTGTAACTGAAGGAGGTATTAAAACTAATATCATTCCAGATAGAGCTAAATTAGAATACCGATTTAGAGCTCCATCTGATTCTGAGTTGCAAATACTACAACAAAAATGCAAAAATTGTTTCCAAAGTGCAGCCCAAGCAACCGGCTGTAAAGTTGATATAGTTCACGAAGGTATCTGTGGTGATCATTATAGATCTGTTATCAACAATTTACACCTGGTAGATTTGTATGAAAATAACGCCAAGAGTTTAGGTATTGAGTTTCCGTCGCGAGCCGAGCAAAAGCAAAAGATGCTTGGCTCAACTGATATGGGAAACGTATCGCGAGTTGTACCTTCTATTCATCCAACATATTCAATTGAAACCAAAGGAGGTAATCATACACGTGAATTTGCTGTAGCAGCATCTACAGAACAAGCTCATCGACAAACGATCATTGCTGCAAAGTCCATGGCAATGACGTGTATTGATGTCATGTCCAGCCGTGATCTACAAGTCCAAATCAAACAAGAATTTATAGCCAGTACTAGTCAATAAATGATAGCATCATTATATTACGTAATGTATGTAGTATGAAGGGGTTTTAAGTGTTACTTTAATTAGATAGGTATACCCTTAGTATGATACGAGAGAGATTCTAAACGAAGAAGAAATCCTTTATTCAGACGTAGAGGAGACCATAAGCGTGCTCTGGGCAGGAATAGGACAAGGTAGACAATCGTCAGACATGCAATGGGATAAGAATTGAAGAATGCACGAGTTATACAAGTGCACCACTACTTATAGTAAGCCGTATGATATTATGGACTCGACAAGACATATTGTAGTTACAATCTAAGTAAAGTACATAATATTGCAAAGTATAATGTAAGCTATAAATAAATACGGTAATCAATTCGATAGTTTTAGGTTGCATTAGCAATGTATTATGATTTCAAGCGATACTCCATTTCAATTTTACTTTCGGAACTTTCTACTGCATACTGTAAGTACATGGAAATAGTAATCATTTACGGATAATTAATTAATCGTCATTATGAGTTTCATTCAGCGCATAATAGCTTTTAGACCATACTTTCAATATATTTAGCCCATTCATTATTAGCCGATTCGAATAAAGAAATTGTAATTATAATTATTGATATTTGACCTCAACATAATCATCAATAAAGTAAAGGGGCGAATCTTATTGTATAACTGCCATGGTGAATCGTTTACCTGCGTTTTGTAAATAATAGTTTTACTGCAATTGCAAGTTGAGAAAAGCACAGAGGAGAAATGAAATTTAAATAGAAGACAGCTATTGAATCCCAGATGACGGTAATTACCAACACTTTTTTGTTTCCTGTAGTCCCAGTGACGGGTATTACCGACACTTTTTTCGGTCTTGTAATCCCAGTGACGGATATAACCGACGCTTTTTTTTAGCCGCGAAATCCCAGTGACGGGATTTCCCATCACTAAATGCAGTTACTTTAACTAGTTCCTGAGTCTTTATCGTGTAAGTAACCCTGGAACTTATATAGGAAGTCAAAAGTGGGATTACTGGACTCTGCCCAGCAATTGCTTTATTTGTCACACTGTTTATTATAAAGCCATTAAATAAAATAATTATCGTAAGAGATTAATGTTGGCCTGGTAATCGATTGTAAATGTTTATTTCTCCAAAATTTGCATGCTCATCTTCGATTTGTTCATGAATTATTGTGTATTTTACAGTGTGTCGATTTACTGTCAGTTGACATTGACAGGCAATGGACTGCATACCTAGACTAGATGGAAACATTCAAATAGCTATGTAATAAATGCGTCCCACAATAACTATCTTAGTCAAATGGTATTTTCTAAAAGGCTTTAATTGCAAGGTTTTAGGAATAGTAGGGCAATAGTTAATTCCTACAAGAATCTAGTCTAAAATCGAAAGTATTCCGAGCTCAAAGCGAAGCGAAGCCTCTTCTCCTCTGTGAGCTCATCTCTGCAGTTCTTATGCATATTTCGTTCAATCCATTTACGACAACTTGATTAATCTACAATCAGACATGAGTCATCAAACAAAATACTTTTTCTCTAATGGTACATTATTATTTTCTGCAATCGAAATCATTCTACTGAAGATATCACTACTCTTCTATTAGCGTCTAGGCCCTTTCTCGGAAGGGCATCTTAAGAACTACAGTGTTTCTAGCTACATCAATCTCGTACTATAATTAGTCCACTGGCTATTATTAGTCATCACCAATTTCCAACATAGTAGTTAGCAATCATCTAATATTAGCTTCACGGTAATATCTATTCAAAGCAACCTAACTATATCAAATATAGCTATCCGTATAATCCAATATGGGTGTATCACTACAAGCTGCAATGACAGTATTTGAATTGAGTCAGAACCTCTAACTGATGCAATGTGCGGACAAGGCACATCAAAGATGTGGACAATCAATATTATCGTTGATCAAAAATACTTCTAGTTGTTGAATCTCAGTTACTACTCTCGTGCTAGCCATTAACGTGAAATAGCAACAGCTAGATGAAACTGCATCTCACTAAGACCAAACAGACTACACTACAGGATACTTACGATCGTATAGTACAGTACGGTATGATACGAACTCGACATCAACGTCCAGTATAGAAGTACAGTACAGCTACGTAATAGTGTGCTGTACTCTACGTCCATACGTAAGACGCAGCAAATCGAAATTGCACATTTTGACTTCAGCTGGTTGGGGATTAATATGTCGCCTTGTACAATTGCTTAGCCCTTCCAATTTACGTTATTAAAATGACTAATTCTTCGATAATAGTTAGGCATCGAAACATATTTCTTTGGCTATTTATCTCCGCCTGTTTAATAAAAGTCAGCTCGAGTACTGAAAAAGCTTCAAGAACGAACGTAGTTCTTGTCGGTGCTACCGGTAATTTAGCTCAAAAATATCTTTGGAAGAGTCTCTTTAACCTATATAAAAGCATTAATCAAAGCGAAGAAAAGTACCAGCTAAAATTTTATGGAGCTGCTCGTAATCCTGCACATGAGGGCGACAAATTGCTTGATCAGATACTTGGAAATATTTTTCAATTCGACAAATCTGGAGAAGATGAGAAAGTGCAAAAATTTTTAAGCAATTGTCAGTATGTACAACTTAAAAGTGAAAAGGATTATGCAAACCTTTGCAAAAAAATCAATCAGGAAGCAATGAAAGAGTCGATATTGGAATATGGTAGGATATTTTATCTATCGGTACCTCCGTTTGCATACTCGCGTATTGCATCCTATATCAGTAATCATTGTAGACCTGACCAAGAGAGTAAAACATGGATACGTGTAGTTTTTGAGAAACCTTTCGGTCAAGATTTACAAACATCTAAAGACTTGACAAATGAGTTACAACGCTATTTTGACGAACATCAAATCTATTTGGTCGATCATTACTTAGGTAAAGTCGGGGTTGATCAAGTTTTACAATTCAGGATGGAAAATTTACCATTGTATGAACCACTGTGGAATCGAGATTACATAAGCAGGATAGAAATCGTTATGAAGGAAGAGGAAAATTGTGCCGAAAGAACCGAATTTTATAACTCATATGGAGTTATACGTGATGTCATGCAAAACCACTTGACAGAAATACTGGCCTTGGTTTGTATGGAATTACCAGGTCATCAAATGGCTTACAACCCAAGTGATCTACTGCAATTGAAAGCGGATTTGTTGGAGAAGGTGAAAAATTTAGGACCTGATAATGTAATTGTGGGACAATATAAGGACTATATATCACATTTAAGGCAAGATTTCAAAGATATAACGAAAAGAAGTAATGCTTCTACATTTGCTGCGGTATTATTACAAGTAGATAATTCACGATGGAGAGATGTTCCTATCATTATGGTTGCAGGTAAAGAACTGACTGAAAGGACAGCTTACGTAAGAGTAGTTTTTAAAGATGGTCTTTACTGTCTGAACAATGAAGTAAACTGTCCTACTGCTGAAGTTATTTTCAATATCCAAGGGGGTTCTTTAGGAATCTCAGCAGAAGTCACTTCTAAACTACTACCACGGCCAATTTTACGACCCGATTGGTATTCAACCAATCCTACTATTAATTCTGGTGATTCTTTGGGTGTTCGCATATCTGATTATTATGTTCGTAGTCCGAAAATCAACCCAGATGCTTATACAGTTGTTGTTGATGCTGTTTTTAAAGGTAGACAAGACATGTTTATATCTACGAAGAATCTAATCTTATCGTGGACTTTGTGGACTCCACTAGTACACCACGCCGACGTAATTATACCTAGATTATACGATAAAGAAGATAACAGCCAAACGTTAAGATTTATATTTCATAAAGATCAGATTGCATTTGCTGACAGATTTACTTATGATTGCAAGAATCGGGTCAAAAATTTGTATTCGAAAGACGGGAATCATCCATTCGATATTATAAATCAAGGTTTTCGAAATCAGACGTTAATTCGAGGTTCTCCAGATGCAGTTATAGACAATCTCGTCAACGATATTTTATTGTCTGCAACTGTTGCTATCCGCAATAGAAATGTTTTTCACGTTGCCTTCCCAGGTGGATCCACGCCAATACCTCTCTTTCAAAAGTTGGCTTCCTTAGGCAGCCGAATATCCTGGTCGAAATGGCACATCTGGATAGTTGATGAGCGTTGCGTGCCAGTATTGGATAGTAGATCGAATTTCAAGTCCCTTCATGATCATTTACTACGCTATATTGACGTTCCATACTATAATATTCACCCTGCAATTGCTAATCAACATACTGGCTTTTGTGATTCCAGTTACTATGAACAAGAAATAAGAAGTGTTATGAATGAATCTATTTTTGATTATATTGTCCTTGGAGTTGGATCGGATGGACACATAGCTTCACTTTTTCCAGGTTTCCTGCATACGATTGAGGCAAACAACTTCGTAGCTTTAGTGAAAAAGGATTACGCTGATTCTGCGAGGATAACTATGACGTTTTCACTGCTAAATAAAGCGCGTACAATTTCAGCATTAATACTTGGTAAAAGAAAGCAAGTCATTGTAAGCGCTATCAAAAGTGGCATTATAGATATTCATCGCTACCCAGTTACCGGTATTAAGATTTCTGATGATCGGTTTAAGTGGTTTATTGACTATGTTGCATTACCATAGATAGAGTTTCACTCTTTCTTTGATTGTATCTCAATACTTTGATGTACATTCTTAAATTTATCTATTCTTACAAACTGACGTCGCCTACCTATCTACGAGTAAAATTAAACAGAAGATAAGTGGTGGTCGATCTTAGGTTAAAAGAAGACAAAACTTAAAGATACACTAAGATCGTTTTTGATAGCAGTACAAATTTTGCACAATGACATAATAATGTAGGTGTAATCAATCTCCGAGGACTTGTACCGCAGAATCAGGCAAAGTTGTTCAAGTTATTGACATTATTAAATCTTCTTATCAATACTTTATTTTTACTCATTAAGTTGAGAAGGCTCATAATATCAAATTAAACATTAATTCTATTATTGTGGTTGATGTAGCATGCCATGCACTTTTTATTACCGTAGATGATATTCCTCTATACTACTGTACGTATAGCAAGCGAAAAGGTTTAACCTGATTCATGTGCTACCAGGTACTGTTACAGTAGGTTGGCAAATGCGACATCATACAGTTTAATAGCCTAGACTATAGACTTATTGTTGAATTACATGATGTACGGTCGATGTTGACAGTGCCGATTTTATTTTAGAATTTAAAACTACTTGATACGCATATACTGTATATTGTAGTGCTTAACCTTAAGCATAGATATGTCGTTGCTTAATTTTCATCATCTGTTGCTGCATGATGAAGTTTTGTTGAGCTCTGTTACCGATACTATGCACTAGAACGTACGACCGATAACCAACTGCAGAAGGAATCCAATACTATTTCTTCAAAGACTTATTCTCATAATGTGCTACAGTAGTGCTTTTATTGAAATGTAAATGATCAATAAAAAAGTCATCATTACACATCGGTATGCATCTCTACTCTACCTCCTCATTTTGAAAGGGTGTCTGAGCTTAGCTACTATAGTAGAACATTAATAAGTGCACTGCAACAAATTTCATTTCATTCTTCTATATCATCTTAATTCTTGTTGTAGAGTTACTGTAGAGATGACCGAGACTACGGTAATAGCCATTAGACCAGTAAATTAGTGATAATTTTACATCTATACGATATAATTTATTAATAAGAAGAAATAAATTTAAAATATTGTACTGTAGCTTAAATTACACCTGCTATAATGACAATATTCCTAAATGATATGTTGTACTCGTGCAGTATTCCATTTCTCGCGGAAGAGCTACTTACTATAACAGGTAATCAGTTAATCGACAGAAAGTCAATCAATGTACTGTAATGTAGTTGTTACACTTTCTTGTCTATCGTAACAATAATTTAATAGTCCAGTAGGGCTTGAGTACTGAACAATCACGAGTCCAATAGAGCTTAAGTACCGAATTAACTTTATTATGCGTTAGGAGCCGTTATATATAAGAGACAATTACCAGTAATGTGCAATAACGGACATACCATGAATGTTAACGACAATCTTATCTTATTCATAATAAGATAACAACTTATTTTCTTAGATATGCTATCTAGGACTTAATCGTCATCATTACAGAACAACTGCAGAAATATACCGAATAAACAGGCTTATTCAATATGATAGATCTTATCGATACTATGTCTACAACGACTGTATTATTTCGTAACAGTAGTATAGCTTAATTGAATACAGTTTTGACCGGATTTCTCTCAATACACTAAATGGCAAAGCATTCAGAGGATTTAGATGAAACTAACAACTGCTGTCGGTCGAATAATTTACAAACCTCTATCACGTAGAATGACGGTTTCAAATTGCAACTCATGACCCAGGGTAGTGATGTAGTCAAGAGGTTTCTATCAGAGTGACTGACGGTTATTAAAAAACTCCAAATTAAGGACGCTAGTTTCGATCATTACCAGTCCTTCCTTATTCAGACGAAAGTATTTTGAGTCACAGTATGTTGTTATCATCTGATAAATCGACGCTTATCACTATTTGATTTTAGGGGCTGTTAACTCTTTTCGATGGATGATCTGATCTATATTATATGCTTAGAGGGTACTCTGCTAAACTTTATCAAATAAAATTTACTTGGTACTAGTAATAGTAATATAAGTATTGATCAATATACAATTAAGGTACACAATTAATTAATTAAAAGAGATAAGTCATTGGTTGGTAGAACGGGTGGTGATGATGAAAAAGTAAAACTGCTGTAATGATTGCATCTGTTTGATTCTGGCCAGTGAACTGATAATCATGTTTTATCATGTTTGATAATGATGTTTCAAATTAAGGACGCTAGTTTCGATCATTACCAGTCCTTATTCAGACGGAAGTATTTTGAGTCACAGTACAGTATGTTGATAACCACTTAAAAGGGATAAGTCATTGCTTGGAAGAACGGGTGGGCGATAACGAAAAAGTAAAACTGCTGTAATGATTTCATCTGTTTCATTCTGACCAGTGAACTGATAGTCATGTTTAAAATGATGTTGAAGGATTAGAATCTACCAGACTTATTTATTGACAACGTGGCAGCTATTGGTCTATTGAATAAATTACCAATTACTAATTTATTTTGTTGGATACGATTGTAAGATAGCTCACTATTGATTGAATAGAGACGATGGGTACAGAATAGACGTTACCATATTCATTCACTTCATATTACATACTGAACCGTTAGCGCCTGAACCCGCTCGCTCGCCAAAGTGCGAGTGAATGAATGATTGACAGTTTGATGCCCATTTGACCCGTTTGAATGACAACTTCATGTAGTGCGACGTGTCGACAACAACATCGCACGATCGTTGTACTGTACTCACAGGACATAGTACGCAGACAAGACCACGCCAGTCCTCCACACCAATCCACGATGTACTGAGTACATTTACTATCTACTTTTTGACCATATTGAACCCAATATTATTGTATGAGATGTACAGCTGTCCATTCTTTTGTCGAGTCTAGTATAGTAATACGCGTGTAGATAATAATAGTAGATATCTATTCTAATTATTCTACACAATTGATTATCAGTCAGTAGGTTGAAGCCAATCGTAGATTGTGCTAGTTGGCGGACAAGATTTTCTTCATCCACTTCCAAGATTGTTCTATCCATCCACTGCGATCCATGAGTCATGATCAACATGAAACTTTTACTCACTGTTATCTTCATGAGTTCCTTTACCATAACCTTCTGCCATTCCAATAGTTACGATAGAGAATTTCTTGATTATATCTATCACAAATACGATCGAAGATGGAGAGGCAATGGCCAGCATCAGTTGGCACTGTCGGATTTCAGCCGTCTATTAAGAGATGCTGGTTTAAACGAAAATAACGATACCTGGGTATCTTATAGCGATCGAAATCTTACCCTTTTTAGACGATATTTGATCTTAGAAGCCACTGGACACTATGATAACATTACCGAGGTAAGTAAGCTCGTTACCACATAAACATTGGACAATTAAATTTACTCTTGTAGATCTTATCATGTGTTGTTTCTGCTTTCCTACATATCACTTCATTTTGTCAATGTAGCTCTACGGGTACGCGGGTAATTTGTATAGGGTATTTGGATAGCTGCTCCGTTGCTTTGACGAATGAGTAGTGCATTTCAACAAACTTACCTCCATTTTCCTTCTCCTTTCCTATTTTGTCATTTATATACTTTTACTCATTTCGGTATTAACTTGCTAGCGTAAAATGGCAGTGTCTGCCTATTATTGTACAACAGTACAGTATATACTATTTTATCGTTTCACTCTACTCCATACTCGCGATTCCAAAACTCAACAGCATATTGTACAGCTTGCTTGCCAAGTCACAATGTTTTGATGAAAATAGACGTATTTATTATGGCTGTATGCTACAGCCATTTTTGTAGCTCAGTTTAAGTCACATTTTTTTTCACTTTTATTTACAAGACTTTTTTAAACACCCTTTAACACCCTGTACTGCGCCTATTTCTGATAAGTAAAATACTGTAGGACAAGAAACTGCAAAATGTAAACCCCAGCGAACCAGTGGCTGTCTCCATTCATGATTATCGTACTGTAGATGTGAACCAATAAGTCAAGTCGTATTTTAAGGTCGATCTATGATCTGTATTACGGCATCATTATTATTTTTTCATTAATAATTTTTTTTATTGAAGAAATGGGATGCTTATGGCACCACTCATTACAGTAAAACTAGAAGTCATATGGAAGACGTACCCCCACGATAATAGTAGTATAAAGTAGGCCCCAATTCAAAATGTGGATATACTGTACTGTACTGTACGACGTACAGTGAAGTAGATATAGAAGGCTTTTCGCTGTTTTAATGGTAGCAATAGTCCAAAAAATTACTCACCAAATTAGATATTCACATTCATAGTTATTATAATAATGACAGTATAATTGTTGCGGTGTCATTCTATTCCTAATTTTTATGCATGCAAAACTTGCAGTAAGGCCACCTAATTAAAGTATAAAATAATTAGTACGGTCATCCCCAACGTGCATATGCAATCGTTCAAATCTTCGAAAGTTCCTAACTGTGATAATACAGTATATACTGTATGTCCCATGCGAATCCTGCGCTTGATCATCATCAAAACTTCGGAAACTTTATGTACGTAATTTATTGTGTACAAAGTACAGTATTGATTACCGTGCTCATGCATTACCTTATTGTGGTGAATATACAGTACATGGATTGCAACCCTTATTATATTAATTAATTCTAATTATTGAACCCCTTGTTGTTTACAGCATACTGTACATTATACAATAGCTATGATATTACAGTACACTCAGTTATGATTAATCATGCTGATTTATGCATAAATATCCCAAAACGACTACTGTATAAATGATTATGAATTATTCATTACTTTTAACTTGAATTCAATGTCAATATAGCAATACATTTATTTGCAGAAATTTTTTCACTTTCTCTTCGAATCCTTCAGAGGCAATGCTGATCCAAGTTCGATTGCCATAGTGCTGTATCTTACTACGTATTCCAAAGTAATTTAGTCAGTCAACTTGTGGTACAAAATTTGAAATAAAAATAATCGCAACCTGCGTAGATTATACAGCATAAGAGTCAACTTTTCTTAAATGGGCTTAATATATTTACGGAATTTTCTTCACTTCTCTCCCAATCTTACAGAGTGAATACTGATACAAGTTCTTTTGTTATTTTACTGTTCTAAGTACCGTAATTTTAGTCAACTTTGGGTACAAAATGTCAAATAAAATATTTTCAAAAGTAATCGCGCAAATTCCGTAGATTTTAGGTAATTTTCTTGAAAGGGCTTAAAAGCAAGATATATTTATAGTACTATACAGCGTACAGTATGTAAGTGAGAAACGATAAAAATCTATCAATATCATAATCTGTATTTAACAAATTTGTTTCATACAAACTCAGTATACGTACCTAAATCATAAATTTCTCTTGATATCACTGCACCATTGTCTGACTGGATGCACCGATAAATATTATTATTTGTACTTACGAGTATTTACTGTACGAGTATTAAGGGACTCTGATTGATTTGACAGTCTTAAATGTTTTTAAATTTTTTCATTTACTCATTCGAGTCTGGCTAAAGCTATCTCAGAATAATATACGCGTATTCTACTTCTAGTGCCTATCCTCCAGAGATTTCTTTATTATTGCAAACGCTAAGGAGAAGTATGGCATTTCGTATTCTCAATTCTCATCTATATGCCCAGCCATTCTACAACAAGTTCTGAGTAAAGCTTGTAAAAATAATACCAAGTATTTTGCTCCTCCTTCCAACAAAGCACAAGACCTCGTAAAAAGTAAGTAACAATGTTTAATGCATCCTTTACCAAGAGGAATGCCGGCTCTTTCTTCAATCAATTACTGTAAATAGTGATACGACAGTAATGCTATTCACTAAAGATTTCCCTGTTCTACTTGTAGTGTGGGGATTCGGCATTCTATTTACAACGATTATTTGTTTGGGATCTGTCCTCGGAGCTGCTATACTGCCTTTCATGAATGGAGCGACGTATAAGAAAGCAATGATATTTATGATAGCACTCGCTGTCAGTACTTTATCTGGAAACGCTGTATTACATCTCATTCCAGGCGTGAGTATCATTATGTTAGTATGGTTACCACTGTTATAACCTAATTTTTTCATAGAATCTATCCGATACCTTCCAAACATTTTATGATACTGAAAATACACTGTACTGTATATGTACACTATAAGCAATGACGACTTGTATACATTTTAAATTCAGATTATTTTATTCATCACTAATTCGTTGAACAACTTCTATTTAGGCGTTTAACCTTGGACTTGACCCGAAAACAAAATACGAGGAGCTAGTGAAAGGGATTGCTGTCCTAGGTGGAATCTACTTTTTTTATATTTTCGACAAGCTAATTATACACTTATCAAAACTAAGGGTAGGTCAAGGAAACAACTATCAAGATTATTACTACTGTACATCATACTCGTATTTATCCATTTTAATGCAAGCTCATATTAAGGAATTATTAATCAATTATTGAAGCCTCATACCTGTTTAAATTCTCACATCTCGATACTCTATATCGTTTAGAACGCTAACCTAGCTAGTAAAGAAGAGGACGTAGATGTTGGTATTGTCAGAATGAATAGTATTTCTTATCAAATTAATACTAGAAATCCTGACACAACAAATGAAGGTAGACCTAGCTCCCTTAATCCACAATCCTATCTTCTCTGATGATTTATTTTAATTTACGTCAAGGTTGACATTAATATATCGTATTGCTGTGCTGTTATTTTAACATAGAAGGTGTTGAGGTGGTGACCAAGAAAAAACCCAAGGTGATTGCAAGTGTTGCTTGGCTGATATTAATTGGTGATGCCCTCCACAACTTTACTGATGGATTAGCTATGGGTGCAGCCTTTAAAACTTCGATACCCCAAGGAATCAGTACATCAATCGCCATACTTTGCGAAGAAGTCCCTCATGAACTCGGTAACAATTTACTTCTATTAATCTCTCGATCTACTTAACTACAAATTCATAATTTTAGAATAAACTGAAATTCGTATATCAACATGAAATTTTAATTATGTTGTGTAAATCGCATACATTTAATATTTTCGTGTCAAGGCGATTTCGCTATCCTCGTTAATTCCGGAATGTCGGTAAAGCGAGCCGCTATGTGTAATTTCTTCTGTGCTTCTACCTGCTTTATTGGCTTGGCATTTGGCATCTTAATTGGAGAAGATCCTGCTGCCAGTCAGTACATATTTGGAGTTGCTGCTGGGATATTCCTTTATATATCGTTAGCCGCAATGGTGAGCCAATAGCAAATTAAAAGTATTTTGTATATAATCATAAATGGATTACCTATACATAAGTAAAGATAGTGTAATAATTCCGATTTTACTTACTCTTATAATTAAATTAACAATTTTAATATTACAAGTTACCGGAAATGACTGAGCAACTAGAACTGTCAGACGATAACGGTGAAAAAAAGGCGAAGAAATCAAGTTTTTGGTCCCTTTTCCTTATACAGAACATTGGATTGTTAACTGGATTCGGAATAATGATTGTTTTAGCTGTTTATGAAAATGACATTCAGATTTGAAGAAGTTGTTCCTAAAAGAAGATTAAATTTTACTGCTCATTAATAGTAAGTAAAATTGATCAAATAATCATTTCCTGTCCCTTTTTTCCGTTGTTGTTTTATTACAACGTGTACAGTGAAAAAAGTAGACCTTGATGACTACGCAATTCTCGTAAAATTAATTATAAACTTTTTATACTTTATGTGCATAGTCTGCAGTACGGTAAGAAATGTAGACCTCCGCGACGGACGATATAATCCTGAACTGTAAAATTTAAAATTTCTGCTTGTGTAATGTGCTATCTACTGTGGAGAATGTAGACCTTCGATCATGAACTCATGGGTCTGTACTCATGACACAATCCCACCTAATTCTCTATTTAATCGTATTGCTTTTATGTCGTGTATGCGTCCTACGGTGAATAATGCCGATCTTCTAGCACGAAGCAATCCAAACAAAATGATCTGTAAAATAGAATGTCATTTTACTGAATGAAATGTACTAAAGCTCGCTTTATAAAGACGACATCATACGATGTTTATCGTTCGTAAGGTATACGGGTATATCATGCGATAATAAAATGATATTAGGTTAAATCTTTGCTAAAAATTTTTAGTTTTGAATATACGAGTATACAACCAAAGTCAAGAACTTCTACTGATACAATTATACTACAATTTACGAATGTAATCGCTATTCACTATTGCTAACTAACATAACATGGATTGGAAGAATGAAAATCGATTGCAATTTATCCTTACAAAGTAACCTGTAACATAAATTTTCTATTTTCTTCTACTAAATAAAATTATTAAAAATAATAAATAACTCTCAATAAAAATCTTAACATTCATCGTCTGCTCGTTGTAATGTGCTGGTGGCCTATCGATAGATTCATAGAAGTAGTCCGTTACTTAATCTTATAAAATTTCAACTGCGGAGTATAATTTGTAGATTCTGCTAAGAAAAGAATAAAATTTTCCCTGGATTGGTAACTCAATTTTATTTTCTACTTACTCGTAGCTTGAGCATAATACCATTCTTTGCCCTAACTAAATCTGAGGTGATAATCTTAGGAAATTTTTAGTAAAATTTATATTAACTGCTGCAATGACTACTGCGTTGTACATATACACACATTGCGAAATCGTACTGCTTTAATAAATGAAGATACTGAAAGGTGTGTAGTGATTTCGACTAGTTACAGTAGTTGTGTGTTTCGAAAGTATAATAACGTAGTAGCATGAAAAGGCTATAAACCAATTCATTGTAAGGCGTAAAGTTCCTATCGAGACTTTAATTCTATATTACAAATTTGGGATTAGATGTAATCGACGAGTCTCTATCCTGTAATGTATTACTACAGCATAAATTAACTGTACGAAATACCATATTAATTTATATGAGCGTTTCCAACTATGATTATCTCATTGGATCGTAACGTTACATACGGTATACATATTTGCAAAAGTTACCTAGATTGCAATGGCATTAAACTAAGACCTAAGGAATATGCCAGCAGGACATCGATATCTATGATATGCAATGTGGCATGGTAAGCTTTTCAACGCTTCATCGGCCATTTCAAATGCGCAAAACATTAATATTGTGTTCAATTTTTTATTTACTGTTACCAATAAATACGATATAAAAAAACGATCAAAACACGATCTGGTCATTGAAAGAATGGCGATACAGCGGTCACGGCATAGTGCAATTTTAATATTTAAACGTACATCAAAATAACTTTTAACTTGTTCATTACATTAATGCGTATATATCTGCCATATATATAATTGGTCGCATCAAAGCTAATTTTATCGTTCCCATATTTAAAAATTCATATTAACAATACTTGATATAGTTTCTCATGCACCAAAGTGTACGACTATAATTATATAATTAATAGCAATGATGGCGAACTTGATAGAAACTACTGAAGTGGAAACATCCATCACTCTTATCCCTACTTACAATTCTATTGAAATCTTGTTCGTGTAATAATATTTTTACTGTCAATAGTAGTTACGGGTATGCGCGTATACTGTACAGCACAGGAAATGGATTGAATACAAAATTATGACTATGTTATAATTTATACAGTATAATCTATGGCAAAGACAGCTACTTGTATCCTAGACCATCAGTAGCATCAATCGGCCATAGATCAGTTGTTTAGCAATGGTGCATAATACAGAAAGCTTCGATGTCGATCGAACAGCAAGTACTTATTATTCAAACGTATCATTTGAACGGAATACTGCAGCTTGATTGAAAATAATGAATGGTATTAAAATCATTTTGAATATGGTAGTCCGTCATAGTCAAAATTAGCTCAAGCAAAAGGATAGAAGTATTTCAAGACAAAATAATGGCATTTTTACTCCACTTGTAAACGTACTATGTAGTACAGCAGTTTGACTGATGCCATGGACACTAACTTACGTCCACGTGCAGTATACTGCAACTGTACAATCTGCTACAGGCAATATACATCACTATTGTAGGTAGTTTTTATCAACAATTATTATTTCTACAGCCTTCAATGACCAGTCTTTAGCGTAAAGTGCTAACGGAGAACAGATTGATTCCAATTAGATTAGCGACGTTTCTATGTCGTTCAAAATACTGATGTTGAGTTAAGATAGATTGCTAAGACGTAGTTAATACAAGCGTAGGAGTAGGTATCATGACTGTACTTGAAGTTTCAGTCTTTAAAACTTAAATCGTGTGCATATAATTTGGATGATGCCCTTGAATAACAGTCTAGTACAGTAGTAAATGATGTTATCCGATACTGGATTTCGCATTTTGTAGATGGAAACAGAACAATTTCGTGATCATGTCATTGAATATCAGCCTAGTATAGTACAGTAGTAAATGACGCTATCCGACAGGAGATGCTGTATGTCGTATTGTAGCTTGAAACAGAATAATTTGATAGCAAATAATAGAGTAGGGATTTTAACTTTGAGAATCCTTGAAGTACAGGATGTTATAAACGTGTAGCATAAGCTATACTGACTTATGGTAGCAGTAGATCCAAAGTTTTCCTTTTAAACGCAATCTGTAATAAAATGATACGTCGAATATTGAAATGGTTAAATTAAATAGATAATGTAAAGTAAAAAGTACAAGTACGAGTATTCGTACAGCATAGTCCATGAAATACTCATATAGCGAGCGAGTACTCGCTACCGAAATCAAGTACAGAGCTACGCGTTCTTTGAACCGGCGGAATATCATAGGCATTCATAGCAGTGTCATCATACTGTAGTTACCATCTCTAGTGTCGTTATTAACTTAAAGGACAGTCACTCTGTTTGCTTTGCTCGACATTATCCAGCCGCAATCCATAAGTTTGCTTTATAAAACTCGAGCAACACTTAGTTTAACTCATCCTCTATGTCTTGTTACACTGGATCAATTGGATTAGACGGACCTAGCAAGTTTTGCTCTACTCTGCTAGACCGACGTCTAATCGAATTGATCCTTTTTTTGCAATTCAAAGACTGGGATCCTTTTTTGAATTGATCCGTTACGGTTACACATTCAATCTAATATAAGCGAAACTATAGCGTAAGTTTCTGTGCAAGACCAATCTAGCAGATGATTTGGAGTTCTGTCGTGTACTTAGAATACAAGTACGGATTGTCAGTAATGTACATTTGAAATGATCAGCCAAAAAGTCGGCCTACACATCGCTAGCCAACGATCGTATCCTGTCCCTTTCTCTTTCCAGTATTCGCTGCCTTTACGCTGTGAATACTGTGTGTACGGTGATAGTTGATGTTGACGCATTGGTTCAATCGCTATTCCATGACCAAATTCAAAATTTTCACGCTATCATCGGTGGCTTCATCATTCAGAATAGAGAATGTATGATCGTTAGCACTTGCAGAACGTGTAGTATAGTCCTAGATTACTCCGTCTTAGACCGATATTGATTTATTTTAACGCTAAACCTTGATATAGTACTGCTTCCTCAGCTTTGGTAAAGATATTTTACTGTACGCGGCTACCGACTGAGTCAGCATTGATAAATGATAATGGAAGGCATCCGGCAACGATGTAGATTGATTTACTAGCTATTAAAAATAGAATGGATTGAATTGAATATAGTATTAGCTACCTATGATGTACGCAGCTAGATCTCCATGCAGATCATCTTCCGAAGAAGAACTACCAAGTCACTCATGCAATAAATTGAAGTCAATCAAAACATCAGAAAGTAATTATTCTAGCATAGTACAATTTTCAGTCATGTTAATTAGGTATGCAGTCTGTAAAGATCTCCATGCAGATCATCTTCCGAAGAAGAATTACCAAGTCAACGCATGCAATAAAGTGAAGTCAAGCAAGACATCAGAAAGTAATTATTCTAGCATAGTACAATTTTCAGTCATGTTAATTAGGTATGCAGATCTCCATGTAGATCATCTTCCGAAGAAGAACTACCAAGTCAACGCATGCAATAAATTGAAGTCAAGCAAAACATCAGAAAGTAACTATTCTAGCATAGTACAATTTTCAGTCATGGCCTAGAGCAGCTTTCGTGAAGTAGGTATGCAGTCTGTAAAGATCTCCATGCAGATCATCTTCCGAAGAAGAACTACCAAGTCACGCATGCAATAAAGTGAAGTCAAGCAAAACATTAGAAAGTAATTATTCTAGCATAGTACAATTTTCAGTCATGTTAATTAGGTATCCAGTCTGTAAAGATCTCCATGCAGATCATCTTCCGAAGAAGAACTACCAAGTCAACGCATGCAATAAAGTGAAGTCAAGCAAGACATCAGAAAGGAATTATTCTAGCATAGTACAATTTTCAGTCATGGCCTAGAGCAGCTTTCGTGAAGTAGGCATCCAGTCTGTAAAACCATTTTACAAAGGATGAAAACATGCTTGCCATAATTGTCGATCGCAAAGGACTTTTGACGACCGCAGTGCACTAAAAGCATCAACAAAAGGGACGAGTTCCAAGTTGGATTTAGCCGACGAAGGTCGCAAAGACTTGATGAAAGGCCGCAATGCACTAGTGCTGCATTGCGGTCAGGGATGTCATAGTAAATCACGCCATTGGCGAAGATGTGATATTATTTCGTATTGTGAAGAGTACCGTATGGAACCTTACCTCGGGTACAAAATGCTCGCAATGCATCTCCAATTCTCGTTAGTCCTTTGCGATGATTGACAACGGTACTCAATAACGATGTCGGTGAAGATTCTATATCATGTCTTGTATTTTAGCGTATTGTATAACGCACTACCCAAGCCTCTCAAAACATTCATCAAGGCCGCAAAGCTCTAAAGTCATCATGGGAAAATATCAACGTTGGACAGGTATAAAAATAGAATAACACTATTGAAAGTTTCTTTCTATTGCAAATTCATTTTGGGAGCGAGGAAAGCTAATAGGAAGTGGAAATACCTTTCCAAGTTGGACCATTGACTTATTCCATTTTTATTTGGAAATCATTTCCCTCCAACCTGATCAAGTCATCGTATCATGGCTATGTCCACTGATGTACCTTACCCACTGTATTGAAAGTAAGTACAACCGTAGTTTAATTGAGGGTTATCAACGTTTGCCATTTCTCACTTCATAATTGGCCTGATCACCCATGGAATAAATTACTAGAATGAAACCTTTTAGGCAAATTAAAAAGAAAAAAATAGCAGGAATGCAGGAGGGATTCATTCAATCCAATGGATCCAAATGCACTTTCAATGACATTGAATGACCAATGTAGTGCAGTAAAAAAAATTAGTTTTACAAGTGATGATTGTGCATTTTTTTTCTCTTAGTAGTCACATCGACAGTGCAGTACTGTATTCATTTTCATCACCTGTGGCTACATGGTAAAATTTTGTCAACCTCTCTAATACACTTGATCTGAGCTCTGTCAAATTGATCGAGACTATGCACTACAATATACGACCAACAAGCTATTGTAGAAGGAGACTAATGCTATTTCTTCAAAGACATCATTCTCATCATGTGTTACAGTACGAACAGTAGTGTTTTATTGGAATGCAAATGATCCATAATAAGAAGTCATCATGACACATCGCTATGCATCTCTGCTCTACCGCCTCATTTTGAAAGAATGTCTGAGCTTAGCTACCGTAGTAAAACATGGAGTGCACAGCAACAAATTTCATTTCATTCTTCTGTACTGTATCCTCTTAATTCTAGTCATACAGCCATGAACCATTCTATTTCTCGCGGAAGAGCTGCTTACGATAGCAGGTAATAGTCAATCAGTTAATCGACCGTGGGTCAATCAATATGCAGTACTGTAGACTACAGTTTAATTGAATGTACACTCTTTACTGGATTTCTCAAGACATACTCCATGGCAAAGCATTCAGAAGATTGCGATGAAAGTAGTCGCAGGGTAGTATTCGAGTCAAGAAGTTTCTATCATTACCAGTCCCTACGCCTGTATACGTTTTAAAAAGTACTCTGCCAAACTTTATCCAATAAAATTTACCTGGTACAAATACTAGACTACTAGTAATATTAATAAAAGTATGGATCAATCTAGAATTAAGCTAGACAATTCATTGAATTTCACTTAACGGGATAATTCGTTGGTTGGTAGAACGGGTAGTGATAACATCATCTGTTTCATTCTGACCGGTTAACTGATAACCATGTTGAGGGATTAGAATCTACAAGAAGTATTTATTGACAACGTGGCAGCTATTAGTCCTATTCGATTGATCGATACCTACTTTACTACAGTACGTCTATTAAAAGGTCGAGGTCAATTTTTCCTTTTGTGTCTATTTGCATAAGGCCAACATCAATTGGATAGCCATACAAGAACGCAGTACTATATTGTATTATACTGTATATGGAGTATCTATTGGAAAATTTGGATCGATTTTTTGTGTGTGTCTTTTGGCAAAAGCTCAGCAATGATCGATTCTACCAATACAACTGCAGTAGAAAACGACCCCACTCAACGAACGGGGCACCAACCAACGCGTCAATTACTAATTACAAATTTATTTTTTAGACACGATAGGAAAATGGCTGATTCTATCGATCTCTATTCTTGCCTCCATGGAGATGATGGGTACATAGGCGCAACTACCTTACAAAAGTACTACTTCAATGAATGATTGACAGTTGGATGCCGATTGGAACCATTTGAATGGCTGCTTCTTGTATGGTATGCCAGTGCGATGTGAGAACAACATCAAAGGATTGTTGCAGCGTGACCTTTTCGTTAAATGCTGGTATAGTCCGCTAACGACTGCAATACTGTATACTGGGCGGCATCCATTTTCATCACATTGCAACCAGTAAAAACCAAGCATGCAGAGGCGTGGCAAACTCTGTCAAATAAAATTACGATGATTATAATGGTTGAAAGATGTTCAGCTATGGCGTTGCCTTAAATTATATGTTTCAATTTAAAAGCAATGGACTTTTCAATGTGGCATAAATTCCATGCTGATAAATCAGTACAACCTTGAGCAATGGGCTTGTGATGTTTTATTTCTTCAAAGTTTCCAACATAAACTATCAGCCAGTGATACATGTAGCGCTGGTCAAAACCATTTTACAATTGGTAATACTATTACTGATCACAACACGTGCAGCTGTCTACTCTTTTTATCCAGTCAACATCTATTGATGTCGATCAAAATAATAATTATACCGTACTGTACCAGGACTGGACGGCGTCGAGACTGGACAGTATCCATACTCATATGTTACGCTATACTGTATAATCAAAGCATGATGGTCGAAAATAGCCATTATTAAATAAAATTAACAGTCCGTAGCTTGAGGTCGATTGAAAATTGCTGCTCGTTGAGGGACAAGATTAACTTCAAAGATTACTCTATCCAATCCACTGCGATACATCAGTCATGATGAAATTGAAACTTTTACTTGCTGTTCTCTTTATGAGTTACTTTACCATAACCTTTTGCCATTCTATTGGTTACGATAGAGAATTTCTTGATTACATCTATCGAAAATACGATCCAAGATGGACAAGCAATGGCCAGCAACACTTGGCACTGTCGGAATTCACTCGTTTATTAAAAGATGCTGGTTTAAACCAAAATAATGATACCACGATATCTTATAGCGATCAAAATCTTACCCTTTTTAGACAGCATTTGATTTTAGAAGCTACAGGACACTATGATAACATTACTGAGGTAAGCTCGATACCGCATGGACAATTCACTCTTTTAGTCGGTTTTTTTTCATCTGCTTATTCTTCTTTCCTGCTGACCACTTCACTTTGTCAATCTAGCGCTACGGGTACGCGGCTAATTGTAGAGAGTATTTGGATAGCTGCACCGTTGCTTTGACGAATGAGTAGTGCATTTCAACAAACTTACCTCCATTTTCCTTCTCCTTTGCTAATTTGTAATTTATATACTTTTAGTCTTTTACTCTTTTCGGTATGAACTTACTCATAAAAATGGCTAGTGTCTGCCTGTTATTGTACC